AACAAACAAAACCGAAAGAGAAAGACAAAACAAAGTAAACTCCCTCAAACAAAAGAAATGCTAGGTTTCCTTGATTTTAAATAGTCACAGGAAAGTTTTTAAAGTGAAAATTAAAGCAAACAAATGCTTAGGGAAGCTCTAGCGAACCTCAGGCTGAAGTCCTCGCCCCTTGTCGCACAAGACACCTGGGGTCTGAACCCAGCTCCCCACCCCACCCTTTCTTCGACTCATGTTCTGTTTGAAAATTGTGACTATTTTGGCTTCTTCCTGTGCCCCAGTTTGAGCACCGAAGAAGCTGTCAAGAAAGAACTCGTCCATCAGCGTCTGTCTTGGCCGCATGCTGGCCACAGTCACATTCGTGGTCGCACTCGCAGTGGGGTTGTCCACACTCCGAGAAGGCTGCTTTTGTGGAACACACACCTCCAGTGTACGCACTCACACACTCACAATGACATGTCCCATGATGCCACACCCACCTCTGCAGAATTCTCGATGACAGAAAGGGGATGTTTGTCACCTGAGCGAATTGTTCTGGAATTTTTGGGATGGATGATTTGCCCTGCAGGGGCGGGGGTCGAAGGGAGCCGATTGTCACGTGGGAGAGCGGGAGGTGACCCGACTCTTGGTGCCCCACCGTGGGCCCTTCGAGGTGCGATTTTGGTTCATGACATCAGCGAGTAAAAATAAGGATTGTCAGATGATGCGTGGGCCTGCTGTGGGAAGGAGAAAGAGTGTGTTGTTACCCTGGGAGCCGCTCAATCACTTCCTACCCACTCGGCCACTGTCCCCGGGGTGGGAGGGACAGGCAGCTTCACCACCCTCGGGCTTCCCTGGTGTCCGATGTGAGCTGCTGGGGTGGACAGCTCAGTTCCCCCCGGGCTCAGGGCTCAGGTCAGGGGAACTGGGGGTCCGAGCTGGCTGGTGGCTTGTGGCCCCTGGGAGCTGAGGGACATGGGACGGGCCACGGCCACTGGGCTGTAGTGAGTCCTACTTTCTGCCTGCTTTTTTGGAAATTTTTGAAATTGTGATCGGTGCATTTGCTGTGCAGAATGACGACATTCCTCTGGGGAGCTGTGCCTTTGCGTCCCATATCCAAATTCTTTTTACGTCCTTCCCCCTCCCTCCGTCTCTTCCCTTTTGCAAAAGACCCACCTCCCCGTCTTCTGTTATCTGTCTTTTGTTTTGCACTTTATTTATACTTTGAATTTCTTGTAGAAGAGAAATTGTCCTGCTTGAGCTTGTGTCTGATTTAGGTCGCTTCTCACTCTGTGCTCAAATCTCCTTTTCCTGCAGTTTACTCAAGCTGACCCTTCTCTATTGTAGAGCAGTACTCCCCTCCGAGGTGACCTTGAATGCCTGCACCCCTGCCTGTGGTCCCCCAAGCTCTCTGTCTCCTGGTCACGTGGTCATTTTCTTAGAGCTTCTCATGGTTCTGGCCCAGCCAGTGCTGGGGATAGGGGGGTGCCCCGGGCTTACTTGCATCTTCTCTTGGCAGTGACCCCAGGATTCTTGCACCCCCCATATTTCTTTCCCTTGGCTCTGCCCACAGCTTTGGAAATGACCTTTGATGCTGCTGCTTCTGGCTAAGTGTGACCCTATCCCTGCCAGGATCCTGGTGATGCTCTGGATGACAGGGTGGCCTAGCAGTCTGTCTTGTCTGTCCCGAGGCAGAGGGGAGGCACTGGAAGACAGTGGCCAGGTGTGCGAAGAAGGCCAGGCCCCTGCTCTATGGCAGTGTCCAGTTCCACCTGTGGTCATGATGCTTCTGAGCAGGGTTTATAGTCTCAGGAGATCATGGCAGCTGGACTGAAATGAAACTGCAGAGCACTGGTTCTGTTCTATTGGTCAATCGATTGATTGAGACAGGGTCTTGCTGTATAGCTCAGGCGGGCCTCCAACTTTTAGTGATTCTCCTGCCTCGGCCTCCCCAGTGCTGGGGTCACTGTGGGGCACCACCACAGTTGACTGTTGAAATAATGAAAACGGAAGTGTCTGGAGTCTTTTTTCAGCTCCAGGAATACAATTGCTTCTGTTATGTAGGGTTGGAGCTCATGGGGATTTGGCTATGGCACCAAAATGGGGAAATCAAGGCACGGGGGTGAGGGAGGTGCAGCCAGAAACTCAAGGAATCCCGAGAGACTGGCAGGGAGGGAGGAGAGAGCAGTGGCTGTGACATGGGACTGGCATGGGGAGGGAGCAGGCATGGCGTGGGACGCTGGGCTCCCAGCCACTGGGAGTCTGGCAGAACCTCACCTTCCGTGTGTGCCAGGGCAGGCAGGGTTCGCTCTTGTCTGCAGAAGCCAGGTCCCTCTGGGGTAGGAGGGCAGCCAGAGCCCCCACTTGTCTGTGCCCTGGGCTGGCAGGGCAGATGCTGGGAGGGGCTGAGGCACACCCTAGCCCAGAGGCCTGGGTGTTTGCTCTGCGATGCCTCTGTTATCTGGGTTGTTCTGTTTCAGTACTTCAGAGGGAAATACTGGGAGCCAGGTGAGGTGGTGCCCGCCTAGAATTCCAGCACTCAGGGTGCTGAGGCAGGAGGATCTTGAGTTTGAGACCAGTCTGGGCTAGGTAAAATTTATTTTGTTGGCATCGGGGATGGAACGCAGGGCCTTCACACTGAGCTACATCCACAGCCCTCTTTAAATGCTTTCTTTCTTAAATTTTGAGACAGGGTCTCACTCAGTCACTAAATTGGCCAGGTTGGGCTTGAACTTGCTATTCTCCTGTCTCAGCCTTCCAGAGTGCTGGGTTTGCAGGTGTGTGCCAGCATGCCCACCACATTCTTTTCATCTGTCCACTGTTCCTGGGTCAAGTTCAAGCCATGCAATCTTGGGCTAGGAAACTTCATCCCCAGGACACTTGTGTCTAAGCAGGATGGTAATTCCTGCATCACCTCGGATTCACAGAGCAGGAGCTGGGACACTTGGTTCTTTCCCTGTCTGGGCCTGTCACTCACAGTGGGGCACTATTTCTGCAGAACCCTCTCCATCCTGGGGAGAAGCTGAGGTTGTCGCTATGCCACACCCTGGTGTCACTTTGGGAGAGCATCTTCACAGACTTCCTTCTCTGTGCAGTGAGCTTTTGCTCAATGTACAACTCTGGGAACTGGTTGCCTCCCATCTTGGCCCCAGCCACAACTCAGCTTTGACTGAATTTTAGGAGATGCACTTGCTGTTGATCATATTCCTTATAAAAGTATTTACAAACCATGCTGGGAAGCCTGCAGGTATTGTTTATGGACATCTGTTTTTTTTTTTTTTTGTACTGGGAATTGAACTGAGGACCCTTAAGCTTGCCAGGCAGGTGCTGTGCTGCTGAGCCATATCCCTGGCCCTGTGAGCATCTTTCTATCTGTGGTCAGTGGAGGGGACTAGGGCGGGGTTGGCTGGTCCCCACTGGATCCTAGCTGGGCCTCCTCCTGACCAGCTCTGGACAAGGCGTTCTTGGCTTTGTGGTATCTTCTCTGGAAGAGGAATGGTAAGGCGAACATCAGATCTCTTGCTTTGTTCTGATTGCCAGTGCACTTTTCTTGCAAATACCAGATGACCTGAACACATGGTTTAGGGGCATACAGGACAGTTTATGTTCTTGGGTGAGAAGTTGGAAGGTGGAAGGGTCTAGAGTTGGCTGATTTAGTGGCTCAAGGAACCAGGCCTTGTCTCTGTTTCCCCACAGCCATCTCAGCGGGTGGGTGTATTCTGCTTACAGAGTGGCTGCAATAGCTGTAGACATCATGGACAGATCTCATGAAATCCCCTGAAGCAGGGTGGCATTTCTCTCTCTCTCTTTTTTTTTTAATCACTGAGGAAGCTCTCCCTTGCAGACTCGTACGTCTCTGTGTGTTGGTCTGAGTCCCTTAGATCCCTTGGCCTCAGAGGAAAGTACTGACACTTTGTTTGGGAAGTCACGTCTAGGGAGGTGAGGACACGGGAACACAAAGGGTAGAGCAGGGCCAACAAAGATGTGACACACTGATTCTGCACTGGATCCTCCTGGTGGGCACAGGTGAGAGGCCACAAGCCCAGACTGTTAGGAGATTAATTTCCTGTTGTTTCTGATCTGACACAGTTCTGTCCCCTCGGGAGGCCCTATCACTAGTGGTCAAGGCAGGGGTGTTGGAGTCCAAGTCTGGAGTTCCAGCCCCTCCCTAGCTCCTTTGTGACCAGCATGCTGCGGGAAGACTGCATTAATACTTGGAAGTACTTAGCATAGCACCCAGCAGCCAGCATCCTGTGAGTGTCTGATTCATCATGGTGATAGTGCAGACTTGGGCCATGATTCAGCTCCTGAGGCCTGGCTCTGTCTCTAAGAGGCAAGCTCTGCACTCTGATTTCTGGAGTGCAGGGCTCCAGGACGTGTGATGAACGTTAGCCTCTCTGTGTTGATCAGGCTGCGACTTCAGGGACACAGCACCCAAAATGCCCTTCCTTCTCATTCATCATCTGTCCCCCTTATTTTTGTCTATTTTTTGGAGCCAAGGTCTCATTATGTAGCCAGGCAGGGCTTGAATCATGGCAATCTGCCTGCCTCAGCCTCCCAAGTGCTGAAATGACAGGTGTGCCCCACACTGCACTGGGTTGACTCTGGGCTTTTAAAGTCTGGGGTCATCATGTGGAGGACCTCAGGGATCTGAGACTGTGGGCTGACAGCCTGTTGGTGACATCTTCCCAATGCTGTTTGCCACCCATCTTAAAAAATCCCTGCCACCCATGGGTGGGAAAGATGGCCTGGGGGTTCTTCTGCTGCACCCCTGACTTCCTGTGCTGTGTTGTGACTGGAGATGGCTCTGGGAGAGGGATGTCTGGACAAGCGGGACTCTGCAGCTGGGCTCTTCTGCCTCATTTTACCCTGCAGGGCCAGGGGGAGGTGGACACCGGGAACGCGTGGCCCCAGGCTCCCACTGAGCCGAGTTCAGCCTTGGGCCCGGCCTCCCCGCTTGTCCATGTGTGTGTGTCTGTATGTGTCCTGCGGCTGCTGCTGACCTCCTCTCTGTTCTCTTGCAGCTCCTGTGCCCAGGCCAGGGTGAGTACTGAACCCTCCTCCCTGTCCCGTCCCCTGCTGCTCTTTGTGGGCATCCGGAGAGTGACAGCCAATGGGAAAAGAATGGTGGAAGCCCCTTCCCCACGTTTCTCTTTAGAAGTGGGGAAAAGGCAAGAGCAGCCGCTGAAGGGAAACAGCAGCGAATGGTGCAACACTCACATGGAAATTGGTATTTTCTAACTATGCTCTTGTGGTCTCAGGACTGGGAGTTTGGAGCCAGCCTGGACGAAAACCTTGTCTCTATTTTTTATTTATTTTTTGTTTTTATCTTTTTGAAACAGTCTTGCTATATAGTTCAGGTGGTCTTCGGCTCACTTTGTAGCCCAGGCTGGTCTTGAACTTGCAACGATTCCCTTGCTTCAGCCTCCCAAGTGCTGGGATTACAGGCACATGCCACCATGCCTGGCTGAAAACCTTGTCTTTAAAAACGTGATTTTTTCAGAACCAGGCACGGTGGCACATGCCTGTCCTCCCAGTGCTTGGGAGGCTGAGGCAGGAGGATTGCATGGAGGGCTATATAGTGAGACCCTGTCTCAGAAAACCAAAACAAAAAGTGTTTTTTTTCTGTTACTTTTTTTCTTTTTGCTGACCTATACCCATGGGTAATTTAACATAATGAAACAATCATGGGTTGTTTTAGTACTTTGTGTACTGTTTCGCCGACATACTGCTGTGCTGCTCTTGGTTGATCCCTTGCTACATTAAAACAGGGATGAAGATTCTATGTCCCTGAACCTCTAGAGCTTGGGAGGTGGCCTTCTGTGTCCTTTGCTTCCACCCAGAGGGCTGGGCTGGGATGTAGCCCAGTGCTAGAGCCCCTGGATCCCATAAACAAAACGTGGCTCCTGGCCGTGTGACGTGGAAGGCTAGGTTCCGGGTGCTGGCTGGAGCTAGTGCCCCTGATCTTAGAAGAAAAGGAGAGGTGTAAGGACAGGATACTAAGTTCCGGTGACTCCTGGTATCCAGCATTCATTTCACAACACTGCCCAGTCCAACACGATGACCTTGTAACTATCTTTGGTCATAAGATGTTTCTGTAAGACATAAAGATAATGCTAGCTAATAGGTTTTATTTTATTTTATTTTTGTGAGATAAGGTTTCGTTGTTTAGTTCAGGCTGGCCTTGTTCTGGTGGCAATCCTTCTGCCTCAGCCTCCTGAGTGCTGGGATGACAGGTGCGTGCCACTATGTCCAGCTGTTTAGTTTTTTGTGTGTGTGTGTGTGTGGAAAAATAGTAGCTGTTGATTTGTCTTTAAAATTGGGTAACATCTTTTTTTCTGCTTGGAAAAACTCCGAATTCTGAGAACCACGCTGATAAAATGGATCTTTCTCACAGTGCCCTCTGCAGGGGCAGGTCTTGCTGACACCTTCTAATAAAGCGAATTTGGGTAATAACAGTGATCATGAAGAGCCTTGCAGACAGCGGGGTGGGGGGCAGTCATGGAGCTGGAGTTCCTCCTGGTACCGTTTGGGAAGACCCCGGTGGGCTGTTGTGCAGCCTTGAACGCCCTGCTGTGCAGGCGGACCCCGCCTCCTCCGGTACCTGAAGCCGAGCTGTGGAAACCCACAGGCTCCATGCTGTGGAGCAGAGCTCACCGGAGCAGGGGACAGAAGGAAGGCGACGCACTGTGGTCTTCTCCGCACTCAGGATGCAGGCTGACAGCAGGTGTGGCCTCTCCCCTGGGCCTCTTCCACTCCGCCTGCAAGTGGCGCTCTGCCCTGCAGGGTCTGACCTCTTAGATGGGACAACCTCGTACACACAGTCACTGCCCAGTAGGACCTCAGCGCATGCACACTGCGGGGCACAGTTTAGCTCATAAATCGGTGAACAGGATTTCATTCAGCCTCCAGAACTGACTCCCACGCCGAGGCTGTGAAGCTGACCCACCTGGCTTGTCACCCTGTTTGTCCTCAGCGGCAGAATGAGGATTTGGGAAGCCTCAGTTTCTGCTGTTGGATCCAGGAGGCAGTGTACTGGCCTGTCATCGTAGGATCCAGAAGCCGTCAACACAACCACCAATACCACCACTACCATCTTGGGCCTGAAGCACAGCTGAAGCTCCAGCCATCATATCCATATTCCAGTAACAGGAAGGATGGCAGTGTTCCAGGCAGAGCTTTGCCCTTCATGCTCAACTTCCGGGAAACACTGCAGGGGTTCAGCTTACAATCCTCACATTCTATTGGCTGCATCTTAATCACGTGGCTCCCTGTAGCTGCAAGGGAGGCTGGGAAGTGGAGTCTTTGTTCTCTAGTGGAAAGACTGGAAATATGTGTAAGAGAAAGAGAAGGGGATGGAAGGGCACGATTATAGCTCAGTGGCACAGCGCCTGGATGGCAGGCGTGAGGTAGTGAATTCGATTCCCCAGAACACCCCCCCCCCCAAAAAAAAAAAGTATTTTGGGGGCCACCAGCAGTCTCTGCAAACAGAGGATCAGAAGGGCTTAGTACTGTATCAGGAGAGAGCAGCCGACAGGGGCTTGGGTCTCCTCCAGAGCTGGTGGGGGTCTGTTTTGTCCTAGCGTTTCTGAGGTGCGTGGGAGATGCAGATGGGAAGGGGAGCAGGAAGCTGTCGCCGCGTCCGGCTCACAGGTCGGTGCCTCACCCTCGCCTCTCTCCGCAGCCCTCGCTTCCTCTCAGAGCTCCCCAGCAACCACAACAGAGACGACTTCCTTGCGGGGCAGCCCAGGGACCTTTGACAACATCACCAGCCTGGGGCCAGCTGGTGACCTCGGGGCCACTTGGCCCACCTCCAGTGGCCCCGGGTCCTGGACCACTGGTCCTGCCACGCCCACAGCAACGACACAGGGCGGCTTCCAGGAGACCTCGCCCGAGGCAGGAGGTCCAGGTAAGCAGTGAAACTCCCCATCGCCCACTGCGATGCTCCTTAAGGGAAAGCTGCTCAATTTATAGCTGTCATGACTTCCAAATATTTTTTTTTTTTTTCAATTTTTTTTTGTCTTTTTCTCTTTTTATTGGTACCGGGGATCGAACTCACGACTGCCTGCTTGCAAGGCAGGTGCTTATGCTGCTGAGCTAAATCCCCAGCCCCAAATATTGTTTTAGTTGCCTGAAAACCTGAAACATTTTTCATAAGGATAATTAGTATTCAAAATATAAATTAAAGAGAAACCACATGTAAGCTGTCAGTCAGGAATAGTCTCTGGTACCTTTTATCTGGACCTGATGGTGCATGCTTGTAATCCCTGTGCTGTGGGAGGCTGAGGCAGGAGGAGGTTAAGTTGGAGTCCAGCCAGGCAACTTTACAACTTAGTGAGACTCTGTCTCAAACAAACAAACAAACAAAATCACTGATAATTTTTAATGCATGCTATTTTATTATTTGAAGGTGCATGTCTAGGTTTTTTTCGTGTACAAACATTGAGGTCATTCGTGCATGTGTTTTTGCAATCTATTTTCTTCTCATTGCCTCATTTAACCTATTTTTCTTTGCCAATGTGAATATTTTTACAGCAGAACTTTAACCCCTGTCTGAATCATGATAGACAGATTATAAGGGTCCGGGTGCTAAAGCGCCTGCTGTGTTTTGCAGATAAAGTTTTATTGGAGCATAGCCACGCTTGCTTGTCTACTATCTGCAGCTTGTTCACAATAGAATTGAGTAAGAACACTCAAGAATTTATGGCTTGTAAAGCCAGAAATATTTGTCCAAAAAAAGTTTTCAGACCCTGGGCTAGACCAACGGTTCTCAAAGCATGGTCCAGGGATCTCTGGATATCTCTTATTTTCTTTTGAGGATTCTGAGAGGTATTATTATCTCAGTAGCCTTGAAATGTTCCTTATTTCCTCCTGATTGACACTGTGATGACTAATAAATGCATATTTGTATGTTTTTGGTGTTTCAAAAATTTTCCTTGTTTATTTGTAATGCAGTAAATAATCAACAAACATAACTTACACAAGCAAAACTTCTCTGAGATCCTTGATTTTTTTTTTTGGTACCGGGGATCAAACTCAGGACCTTGTGTTTGCCAGGCAGGTGGTTTTGCTGCTGAGCTATATTCCTGGTCCCTTCATGATTTTATAAGAGGACAAAGGTGTCCCAAGACACAAAAATTTAAAACTCTGAATGACTTGTTGAATCATTTAACCTCTCCAATGAGGGGGCAGGTAGATTACTTTTATAATTTTTCATAAACAATTTTGCGATGCAGTTGTTTTGTTAGTTCTACGACAGTAATATCAGAATAATCACTGAAATATTGCTAGGGTATACAAGAAAATGGTAGGAGTTCCTCGTGCAATAATGTTCATTGTTGGTTTTTAAACGCGTGGTCCCGAGCTTAGCGCGCCTCCTAGTGGCGGAGGGTCCACACCGGGACTGAGTTGGCTGCCGCCACCTTTGGCTTCTTGGGCTTGCTGGTGGAGGCTGTAGGACAATAAAAGCCGTGCGCAGAGACTGTGGGGCCTTGCTCCTCCACCCGGGCAGACCTCAATGTGCGCTCGCTATTGTCAGGGAAAGAGACAAAAGAAAGTGCTGGTGACTGACTGCAAGAGCTGGGGACCGTGAGCTCTCTGCCAAGAATCCAAAATGCTCCCTTTAGAGAAATAAGCTGGTGAGCGTCAGGACAGCAGCCAGGGGCGCACTCCAGGTGATGGTTAGGGCAGGAAGTGACCTGAATGAGGACTTTTTCTTCTCTTTTGAGACAGGGTCTTCCAATACAGTTCAGGCTGGCCTTGAGTTCACTTTATAGCCCGGGCTGGTCTTGAACTTGCAACGATCCTCCTGCCTCAGCCTCCAGAGTGCTGGGATTACAGGCATGTGCCACCATACCTGGCTCTGGAAATGAAAACCTTGACAGAGACATTGAAATAGGAAAAGCAAAAACCATACAGAAACCCTGGGGCTGGGAAATGAGGGTTCCAGGGCTCTTGCCTCTCCTGTGATCTGTGCTCATGCCAAGATGATGTTCCTGTGCAGACTTTATTCTCTTGGATTCAGTTCCAGGCTGATTGAGAATAAGGACCATAACACCTGTCTTTTATTCTCTTTCTGGTTGCTGCTCCTCAATCTTGAATTTAATTAAGAGATGTCCATTTGTAGGTTTACTGCCAGCAACCCCAATGCCTTCCATTGGTTTAATATTCTTTGTTGTTATTATTGTTTTTCTGGTTGGTTTTTGAGACAGGATCTCACTATGTAGTCCAGGCTAACCTTGAACTTGAAGCATCCTGCCTCAGCCTCCTCCGTGCTGAGGTTATAGATGTATCCCACCATGCCTGGCTGGTTTAAGATCTTACACATCTGCAGTTTTACAGGTGATAAAACTGTAGTTCTCAAAGATGAGAGACTTTGGGTACTGTTACAAGACCAGTGACTACCAGGTTTGGAGTCTGAATCTAGATTTAAAAATATCCAAGCTGGACCTGGTGGTGCATACCTCGAGGAAGCTGAGGCAGGAGGATTGCAAGTTTGAGACCATCCTGGGCAACTTTAGAAAAAGTGTGGGATGTATTTCAGTGCAAAGGCCCTGGGTTTAATCACCACCACTGCCAAAACCAAACCAAACCTAGCGACCTTGTTTATCACACCACAGAGACTTGATAACACTCCTTTATGTGTGTGGTGGTGTATTAGGGGAACTTGGGATGCAGTGGAGAGCTGAACTCTGAGAGGTTATAAGGGTCAAGTCCAGATCACCTGCTCATGAGTGGAACAGGCTTTTGGGGCACACTTGGGTTCCTGGAACATCTTTGTCTTCCTGTGGGTGTAAAGTTATTTCTGGAAAGTGGACATACAGAGCAGATTTTCCAATTCCATTTAGGTTTTTTCAATGTGATTTTTCATTTTTTCTTAAAAACATTTGAATAACACCCGCAGCTGTGAAAAACCTTGAAGTGCTTTCCGTCGGTCCAACCAGTGTGGTCCTAAGTTGGAAACATGAAGACCAAGCCACTTCTGCGTTCTGGTACAGCATAAAGGATGAGACAAGCAGAGAATGGGTCACTCAGCCAGTGCAGCAAACACAGTACAACATCACAGGCTTGAGTCCGGCGACACCATATAGGTTCTCTGTATCTCTAGGAAGGAACAAGACCTTGGCAGAGGCCGCTTTCATCAATGTCACAACGGGTAAGATGATCGGCTCACAGCCATGGTCACAGACCATTTCTTATTATCCTGTACCCTAGAGCCTTGTCCATCCTGTTCCCTGTTGGATCACGGCACCTGATCCTTTAGTGTTGTTTTTGAGACAAGGTCTTGCTATGTAGCCCAGTCTGGCCTTGAACTCCCGATGATGCTCTGGCCTCAGCCTCTCAGGTGCTGAGATGAAGGGTGTGTGCTACCAATCCCAGCTAGAAGTTTCCCCTGGCTTTATTTTTAAAATCTTTTGGTTTGTTACCGGTGGTTCACACCTGATCTTCTGCAGGGCCCTGGTGTGAGGCCTCCTTAGAAGGGTGATGACGTCTGTAATTCCTAGTCTTCTCAGCTCCTTGGGAAACTGAGGCTGTGTCTGTTTTCCCTGAAACTCTTGTTGGGCATGGGAGCTTGGTGTGCTTTATAGGAAAGTGTGTGTTTCAAGTGGGGTGTGGCCCCGTGATGTTTGGACTTTTAATGGAGACCAGACAACTTAGGTCGTGGTGTAGCTTAGATATCAGTTCCCTCAGTCTCCTCTGAGAGCTGCCAATATAGCTTTTTAAAATTTTATAGATTGAAAGGAACTAAAAATTAAAAACTAGTGCCCAACAGATGAGCTGTTCTTTCTAAAGCAAGAGGAAAATAGAGGCCCTCTGTAAGCTTCCTGGGTGGTGGTGTGGATGTGTGAGTGTGTGAGTGTGCATGCGTGTGTGTGATGTGAATGCACGTGGCCTTCCTGGCTGGCGAAGGCCACAGAAGCCCAGCCCTGGATCCCATGGTTTGAAGTGAGCTAAGTCCCACAGATACCCCTTTGAGACCACTGAGTTTTGACATTCGTTTTTCTATAGCTTGGAAATTATTTTGTTAGAATATTTCTCTGAAGCCAACAAATAAAACAGCAACAACACAATATGAGACCTGGTGATGTAGCTGTAGTGGTAGAGCGTTTGCTTGGCATGTGAGAGTCCTCGGCACTGCCAAACCAAACCAAACCACACCACACCATGTAAGACATCCACAGGCCTTCATGCAGAAATCTCGCATCAGAGATATGTGATCTGGGAAATCAAGCGGATGCCTTTGTTTCTGGGTTGGGTGGTGCTGAAGTTTTCCTGTTCAGTCTCCCATACCTCAAACAGGGCTGTGTCCATCTGTCATCTCTTTGTCTCTCTGTCTCTGTCACTGACATCCCCTGTGCTTCCTGTTTTGGGGCCAGCGGTTGGGGCTGTGGTCTCTGCTGCCAGCAGTGCTGTGTTTTCCTGAGCATGCTGCAGCCTCTCTGGTCCTCTCTCCTGAGTGTACTTTTAGCTGAAGTGTTTTGATTTATGTCACAACAGCCAGAGGAGGTGACAGCCAGGGCACAGCATGGTGGGGAATTTTGCCTTGGGCTGGATCATGGGGACAGACACCTCGGAGGCTGGGCCTTGGTCTGTAAAATGCTCCTGTGACCTGGTCTTGAAGGGAGACCTGGGGGCCTGGCAGAGAGGGATTCCTTGTACTGCTCCACTGCCCAAGTCTGATGTAGATGTGATTAAAGGCCGCTGTCTAAGGGGACATTTTAAAGCAGAGTTGAAGTCACAGTCAGGGATCATCTTAAAGGACAGTATAGACCTTGACTGATTTTGGTCTTAGGGTTTATTCCTTCTGCTTTACTCTGTGTTCCTCAAGCTGCGAATGGTGGCGACACGGTGGACTTAGATAAAAGGATCGTTTCCAGCTGGACACACAGAATTGGGCTGATTTAACTGGAACAGCTACTGAGCTTGAGAGTATCCCCCTGTGTTTATCCACAGAGCCTCTTCCGGTGTCTGGTCTGAGCGTGGCCTTCATGGGGGAGACACAGGTTGTCCTTATCTGGGGCAGTGACAATGGCACCGCGTCCTGCAGGCTGTTTCTTGAAAGTCACGAGATGCGGATCAACATTTCAGACCTGAAGCCTAGGTTTCGGCAAGTCCTTCTTCGTCCACAACCCAGCAAGACACAGAGTGAAAGGAGCTCAGGTGAGCTATGAAATTTGATTTCCTCTCACTTAATAGTTGTAAAAGATATCGTTTCTATGTTGTGCAGGGTTTAAGAATTGGTGGAAGGCTTCCCCTCCAGGATAGTTAGGTCCTGCACTCCTTTCCAGAAGGAGGGGAGCGTCTTATTTTACTGGTGAAGGTGCTGGGGCTCAGGAGGGTATTGAGCACCTGGGTACCCTGGGAAGCAGATGGGCCCTGGAGCTTTTGATTTTCCAGCTGGGCGCATAGCTGGGAGCCCAGGGAGGAACTCATCTCATCCCTGAAGACCAGGGTTGCTCAACAGCACCCACAGTGGGCGCTGTGCAGCTTTTGTAGAGGACACAGACTAGGTCCCTATTTCATGCTGGAGGAAACAGAGGCACTGGGCAGGGTTGAGGTTCTTGACTGTAAGTGGCAGATGGGAGCTGGACTTCAGAGGACTTAAACTAAAAGAGCAGTGCATGGCACATGCATACTTCTCTGCTGCAGGCGCTGTGGTCTTAGAGACAGAGATGGGGCGATTCTCAGCCTTTCTCCAGCTTCTTTCTGTGTATTGGCTTCTTCCACGCAGTTCAGGGAGAAGTGGCCTCTGGTCCCTCACATATCACACCCATTACTTCCCTGCTGTCTGCTGCGTGATGCAGGGGATGCTGGCTCTGAGTCAGGGAACTCCCTGGGAGACCCTGTTGGGATGCAAGAAGATCACCTCCCAAGGAAGGGAAAATGGTCCAGCCTGGGTGGAGTGATGCACATCTGTCAGCCCTGCCCTCAGGAGGCAGAAGCAGGAGGATCACTGTGAGTTTCAGGTCACATAGTGAGATCCTCTCAAAAAAAGAGTCCAAACTGCAGAGCCCAGAGAGGCACAGGATGCCTGAGGTGTTCCTGGAATTGCAGCACAAAGTGAAATACTGGGACTATTTCAAGGGACCAGATCGCTGTCTAGGGGCGGCAGGGAACAGGCATTTACAGAGTGCTGACCATGAGATGTGTCATCGCATGGGATGTGGGCGCTGAAAAGAGAATGTGTTTTGTGAGTGCAGCTAATGTCCTTGCCTCCTGCCCTGGACACAGATGCTGGTGGTACAGTGAGCAGCACTTCGGAGAGCCCGGGCTTGGGTTGGATCTGGAAACCTCTTGAAAATGCAGGCCCAGCCCTTGGCCAGGAGAACCAAGACACAGAAGTTCTGATCAGCGGGTTAAAGACAAATGTGCAGTACAAAGCCACTGTTTACCCTCGGGCGGCAGACGGCACAGAGGGATGGCCCAGCAGCTTGGAGTTCAGAACAAGTATGTGAATGGCCCTGCTGCAATGGCCTCAGTCAGCCATGGGCACAGGTTGTGTCTCTTGTGATTCTGTATCTGAGTTATCATTTGCTTAGCAGCCAGCTCTGTTGTGGGGAGAGATTTTGGATGGCACTGACCTGGGGAGCTTCTTCCTGCTTCAAGGCTGTGGCTCAGAGACACATCAGGCTGTTGCCTCCTGCCCGTCACCCCTGTCTCTGCAAGGAGCCAGAGAGACAGCTGGCGCAGCATCTGATCACTGGCTAATGTTTCTCTGCTTGAGATAAGAAAATGAGCCTTCCTTTTCAGCCTACGCTGGAAATGCATGCTTGTCTTTCTGTTGAAATCTTTGCTGTCACACTCTGGGCTTATTTCTAGCTATGACTCAGTCTCCCACTCTCGGAACCCACCAGTATTTGGAGGTGTCTCAGTCACTGTCCTGTTGCTGGGATCCAATACATAGCACCCACAGCTTAGGCGAGGAGAGGTTGATTTTGGCTCACAGTTTTGGTCCATGGCTGGCTGGCTCCAAAGCAGTTAGGGTTGGCAGGCAGTGCCCAACCCATGGCAGCCGGAAGCAGAGAGAGGAGGAAGGGCTGGGACAAGAATGCACACCCAGGGTCACATCCAGGGTCCACCTCCAGCCAGAGCCCCTTCTGTTGGCGCATCCAGCTGTGAACTCACTGGTAAGTGTAGCACCCCACGATCCCATTGCACTCCACACACAGGAGACTTCTGGGGGAACACTTCAGGTTCAAACCATAACCAGAAGCTAACAATGAGAGGTTAAAGAAACCCATGGTTCCTGCTCCAAGGAGCCTGCCACATGGGCAGGGGGTGGAGAAGCAGTCAGGCCCCGTGAGCTCAGGGACACATGTCTCAGTGTCACCACCCTGGGGGATTGGTGACAGGCAATGTGAACAGACCGGGGTCATCTTACTCAGCCAACTGCAGCACTGAGACTTGAGGCTGGTAGAGGTAGGCCCTCAGGAGATGCCAGAGGGCTGGGCCACACTCATCTGGTGACAGTCTTGCGTTCAGAGTCCCTAGAGGGATGGTGTGTCACACGCCTGTTCACCTGGTGGCTGTGCTGGGAGAGGGAGGTGCTGTCCTAGCAGCTGTGGGTGACAGCAGTTCCTCCCGCCCCGCCGTTTACAAGCATTGTAGCAGGCTGAGGCAGGAGGATCGAAGGTTTGCCCTCAGCTTAGGCAACTTAGTCATTTAGTGAGGCTCTGTCTCAAAATAGATAAAAAGGGGCTGGAGATGTAGCTCAGTGCAAAGGGCCTGGCTTCAATCCCCAGGACCACAACACCCATCCCAATTCAACCCAGTTCAAACAAAAATCCCCAGACAGGCCCACACCAGGAGGGCAGCCTAGGTTCCAGGCCCTGGACGCTGAAGCCTGGAACTAGGAAGAGGGAATGTAGGATACGGAGGGCAGAGATTTGGTGATGCCTTGAGGACCCCGGTTGTTAACTCCAGAGGGCTAGATTGATTGATTGATTGATTTTTGACTGAAGGAAATTCTTCATTTATTTTTTTGGTTTTCTTGTTTTTATTTATTTATTGTCATCCCCCAATCATTCACCCAGAGCACAACACTTCTGCATTCAGTTGTTTGGACAATACCTGCATACATTTTTCTCTTCAGTGAACTCAGGGAAATCAATAATATTTTTATATGCCTATATACATGTACATATGGTGTTTCAGCTTCTTACACTAGTGAGACAATATGATGTGTGCACATATGTGTTTGATTTATTTCACTTATGAATATGGTTTCAAGTTACATCCATTTACCTATAAAAATCTATACATCTTTTTTATCTGTTCCTCAGTCAGTGGGCATTTAGGTGGTTACCAAGATCTGGCTATTACAAATTGTGCAGCTATAAATAGGTGTGCACACATATCGCTGTGGTATGATGTGTTTTATTCTTTTGGGAAAATACCCAGAGAGGGATCGAATGGGACCCGAGAGCTGGGTTTAATTTCTGGAGTGATGTTGTGTGGGTGCTTTGAGAATTACTTCTCCTTCACCGTTATGAGAAATGAGAGGAACGGAGCTTAGCATACCTGCAGATGGTTCCAAGCCAGGCTGGAGACCTAGGCAGGAAGTGGGTGATGGTCATATCTTCTGGAGGGAACAACAGCTTTCCTAGTGGCCAAATTGCAGGAAAGTCTGCTTGTGTCTCTTTCCTTCTTTCCTCTCCTCTTGGTTATACTCATGCTGTAGCAGAGACTGCTCAGTGGCCTCACCAACCGCAGGGTGACAGGTGGCATTGGATTCAGAGGGCTTGGTTTCCAGAGAGGAGGTTTGAGGAGGAGGAGGAAGGGCTGCTCCATGGGGCTGTGGGCTCTGGAAAGTCACCACTGGCTGACAGGGTGATTGGGGCTGACGTCCAACCTGGGTCCTCCTCTTCTGTCAGGCCCTGGCTGGATCCCTCCAGAGGAAGGTTCTGGAATGTTCCTCACAGGCTCATGTGTGAGCACTTGCTCCCCACTGCTGCCGTGTTCAGAGGTGGGGAAGTGATTGGGTCATGAGGGCTCTGACCTCATCAGTGATTAAATCATTGATGAGTCAATATATGAATTAATGAATGGATTCATTCATTGATGGTTCACACTTCGTTAGCCCATGTTGGGAAGCAGTGGGAACTTAAGAGGTGCACCCAGCTGAAGGGAGTGAGGCCTTCAGGCAGTGGCCCTGGGTGTTTTTTTGTGGGGGGGTGCTGGGAATTGAACCCAGGGCCTTGTGCATGCACATGCCACTGAGTCACATCCCCAGCCCTTAGGGGCTATATTTTGTTCCTGGCCCTCCTTCCCTCCCTCTGCTCCTTGACCTCCAGGAGGTGAGCAACTTTCCTCTGTTACTTCCTTCCATTTTTACACAGGCCCAAGGATGATGGAGCCAACCATGAACCAAAACCTCTGAAACTGTGAGCGAGAGTTGATTTTCTCAGGCATTTTGTCACAGCAGTGACACACTGACTGACACAGGCTCTCTCCTTGATTTGCTAAAGAGGGTCCTGTAGGTTAGTGTGGGCCTGGGGTTCTTGCTTTTTAAAGCAATTTAAATAAAAGGGAAGAAGTAATGACTGTCTCTCAGGCTCTTTGTGGTCAAAATACATACATATCCTGGTTTGTGCTTTAGTAGTTTAACATTTCATAAATAATTTATGAAGGATAATTTCTGTGTGTGTGTGTGTGTGTGTGTGTGTGTGTGTGTGAGAGAGAGAGAGAGAGAGAGAGAGAGAGAGAGAGAGAGAGGAGCATGGCTTAGTTTAGTTTCGACTGTTGTAACAAGTTACCACACCCAGGGCACCTTACACAATAAGCACTTACTGCTCACAGTTCTGGAGGCTGGAAGGGTGAGATTGGGGTGCTGGTAAGGTTGGGTTCTGGTTATGGGGCCTGGGCCTTCTTCTGGGCTCTGAGCTCTGTGTCCTCACGTGATGAGAGAGATGAGAAAGGGGTTTCTTGGACCTCGGGTCATTGCTGTCATCTCATCCATGGGGCTCTGCCCTCATGACTACTAAGGGTCATAATTACTTTCAAATACCAGACACCCAAGCTGAAGGGGGAAGGGTTGATTTGGCTCAGTTCATAGTAGGCTGGCTCCAAGCCAGGGAGGCGCGGCAGAGGGGCATTGCAGAAGCAAAACAGTTCATGGGAGACAGAAGGCAGGAAAAGCAGGCAAGCAAGGCCAGACGACAAGACTCTTTCTGACCCTTACATCTTACGCAGGCTACTCTCACACCCTTAGTCCCAGCGCCAGGGATCCTAGCACTGCAGCATGAATCAAACAGCATCACACACCTTAGATCCAGCCACCTCTGAAAAGCCCCACCTAGGGCCGCATGAAGCTTTGGGGGGCCTTAGACACAGCCACAATGCCCAGTGAGGGTGGGGCCTGTGGAGGACACCTGACCTGGAGCAGAGGTGACGGATTGGAGACACAGAGCGCTCTTAATTTCCTGACCTCAGTGCTGCTTGTGTCACGCAGTGGCACCTGCCCCTAGGCCACGTGGCCACGTGGTTCTAGTGATGCCACACTAGGAGCTCAGAGCAGGGGGAGGGCAGGTGGTGAGTTGTATCCTTGCATGACCTTGGCTTCAGGGAGGGACTTTCACCCCATTTGTGAAAACACAGTTGGCCTGGGAACCCAGGTGCACCCTGTCCAGTCTGTGACCTTTGATTCATCATGGAAGAGCAGTGCTCACTCTCGGGCACACGTGCTGGGACTTTTCTGAGTCACCACTCCCAGGGTAGGGTAAACAACGAGGCCTGGTTTAATGGTGAAGGGGAAGAGCAGTCGCTGAGGGTGCTTTTTAAGCTCACTGGCATGCGTTCATGGCTACTCCCTGCCCCTTCTGCCAGGCGGTATCGGGACTCTTCACCCACTGTTGTGTGTCTTCACAGATTCCGAGCAGGTGATTGACATCAAACCTGTGAACGTCAGTGCCACGAGCCTCAGCCTGACCTGGACAGTGAGACACAACGGGTCGTCCTCTGCCTATACCTATGAGATCCACGTGGCTGGGCACGATAAGTCCCTCACCCTTAGTGTCAATGAGACTTACGCCAACATCAGTGGCCTCCGCTCGAGCACCCTGTACAACATCACAGTGCGTCCTTTCCTGGGAGAAGTGGAGGGCACACCAGGTTTCCTCCAGGTGTACACTTGTGAGTTTGCCCTCTGGGTCATTCCTTCCCATCCTGTGTGGCAGGCCCATGGGTCCCCAGGGACTCTTACCCCGAAGCACAGAAGGCAGAGTAACAGCTGTCACTGCTCGGGCCTGGCGCTCGCTGCTTTCTCTGCACTGTCCTATTGGATGCTCCCAGCATCCCTGTGACATGGGTGGCATTGCCCTCAACCTTTGGGTATAGAAGCCAAGGCCAAGGCAGGGGATGTAGGCAGGTGTCACACCTGGTGGGCAGCAGAGGTGAGGTGAAACCTTCGCTCTGTAGTAGAGACCTGGGTGAATTGAGACGGAGAAAAGGAGAACTCAGGTGCTCTGGTCCTGGTGTCCCTGGCATGCTGACACAGGAAGGAAGTGTGTGTCTCATCTTTTGATTGCTTAAATGTCCTGTAAAGGTGAGACGATAGGCTAGGCAACAGGTAATCCACTTCCTGCTGTGAAATAAAGCAGTAACAGTACATGGGCCATGGCAGCATAGCAGCGTGGACTCTAGCGGTGCCCTGTGCTTTATGTGTATTGCAGTGGTCTTTGTAGTGGGTGTTGAACTCCTGTTACAGATGAGAAAACTTCACCCCAGCACAGCGGAACAGCTGACCCAAGTCCATTGAGCTAGCAGGTGCTGCACAGGGGCTGGAACCCAGGAGAGCTTGATGCAGGGCCCAGGGTTCATCCTGCAAAAACGTCTCACGCAGGAGCCTGGGGCATCCCAGCCAACACATACGTCGTGCCTTCTTACAAGTGCCTTTTGGGCTGACTGTTTGGAGAAGATGAAATCTGTTTTGATTTCTTCATCTTTTGCTTTTGTACACCATGAGTTATGGTTAGTTTCAGCTGTGAGTATCAGCTCCCACAGTCAGTCACTTAAGTAAGACAGGAGTTTGTCTCTGTCTCAGGTAAAAGCAGTCCAATGCTAGGCAAGATGGAGATGCAAGAGTGTAAACCAGGTCTCGGCTGCAGGAAACAGAAAACTGTGGGCTGTTTTAAGCCCAGGAGATTTATCCTGGAAACTGCAAGTTTACAGAATCAACAGAAAGGTGCATGGATTACTTTGCTAGGGCTGCTGTAATGCATAGCACAGAAACTTGTTTCTTTTGTACTTCCTGGGGCTATGTGTTTGTTACAGGGTGAGCGTGGGTATGGCTTCTCCCGGAGCCTCTCCTCTTGGCCCGTAGGTGGCCCTCTGTCCGTGTCTGGCCTCTTCTTAGAGACCCTCACACAGAGTCACTGCTGACATTAATTGGTGAACGGGATTTCACTCAGCCCCCAGAACTGACTGCCACACTGAGGCCATGGAGCTGACCCAGCTGGCTCGTCATCCTGTTTGTCCCTATGGGCAGAGTGAGGAATCAGGAAACCTCAGCTTCTGTTGCTGGATCCAGGAGGCAGTGTTTTGGTTTGTCATCCTAGGATCCAGAAGCTGTCACCAACCACTATCACCACCAGTGCTGTGTTGGTTCTGGAGGCAGGCAGCCAGAGCTCCAGCCATCATTTCTCTGTTCCAGTTAGAGGAAAGATACAGGATCCCAGACAAAACTCCATCCTTTAGGCTCAGCTTCCTGGAAGCACTATAGGGCTTCTGCTCACATTCCTCATACTCTGTTTGCTACATCTTAGTCATGTGGCTCCCTGTAGTTGCAAGGGAGGCTGGGAAATGGAGTCTTTGTTTTCTATAGTCATGTACGCAGTGGTAAGGCTGGGCATGTAGTGTGAAGGGCAAGAGGGGATGTATTTTGGGAGCCATCAGTAGCCTTTATAAGCAGAGGCTCAGGGGGGCTTAGTACTGCATCAGGAGAAAGCAGCCAGCAGGAGACAGGGTCTCCTCCAGAGCTTGGACGGGGGTCTCTCTTGTCCTGCAGGTGACTTTGTGGCAGTGTCTGCAGTCATGTGACCCTGAGCCCTCTTTGTGGTCAGAAGCAGCAGTTTCTGAGGTGCTCATGTAGCTGCTGATTAGAAAGGGAGCAGAGAGCTCCGTGTCCCCATGGGGCAGTTGTCTGACGGTCTGCCTATGTGAGTGTAGGGTAACAGTTGTCACCATTTCCAGGGACACAAACCCTTCCCCTCATTCTCACTGTCTCTCCACAGCTCCTTTTCCAGTCTCTGACTTCCAAGTGACAAGTGTGGGCATGAGGGAAATTGGCTTGGCATGGAACAGCAGCGACTCAGAGTCCTTTATAATTGACACAACCCAGGAAATGTCTGGAGAATGTCACAGCAATGTGACCAGCGACCTGCAGATTCTCATTGGGGGCTTAAGGCCTGCAACCAACTACCATTTTAAAATAGTTCCACAAGGACCCAACGGGACTAAAGGGGAGCCCACAACCATTCACAGTCGGACTGGTAAGTGAGCAGACTGAGCTGTTGCCTGAGAGCGGCTGGGTTACAGGTGTCTGGTCTTCCAAATGTTTTTCTTTAAATTAAGAAGAATCTTTTTTTTTTTTTTTTTGTCTTTTTCATTTTTATCGGTACCAGGGATCGAACTCACAACTGCCTGCTTGCAAGGCAGGCGCTTATGCCGCTGAGCTAAATCCCCAGCCCCAATTAAGAAGAATCTTAAACTTATGTTAGGATTGTAGTGTTATTACAAACAGACCAGCTAAAGCAAGAACAAAAATACTATTTGCCAGAGTGCATCTCTGATAAAATTTTAGAACACACACACACACACACACACACACACACACACACACACACTCACTCACACACACACCCCTTTTACAAATCTTGGGTCATTTTGTATGTGCGGTTTTGGAATCTGCTTTTCTCTCACCTCCCAGCTTATCCTATTTCCACATAAGCCTTTCTACCAGATTACCCTGGCACCTGCCTTTGTCGCATCATCTAAATATCAGTGAATCTACTGGTGGATGATAGTGGCCTGCAGACCGGCAGTGGCCTGCTGTTTTTGTAGCAAGTCTTACTGACTCACAATCCTGCTCATTTTTTATATACTGCCAGTGGTGGCTGCTTTTGCATTAGAATTCAGCGTAGCAGTGGAGAATTCATAGTTTGTGAACCTGAGGTATTTATTTTCTGGCTCCGCCTGGAAGCTGCTGACTCCTGGGCTAGGCCAGTGGTTTTCATGGCACCATTGAGGGCTCCCCAAGAGGCTGCGCAGTGTTATCAGATGGTCACACTGTATGTTTCTTGGCTGTTTTCTACTCTGGTTTTCTCACGTGTGGCATTTCCCAGATGCTGTCTGGCTGGGGACGACTTTGTCACTCTGTGCGGGGAAGAAAAAGACTCTTACTTACAGTGCAGTAAAAACTGATAAACATGACCCCTGTGAACAAAACCCTGAAGTCCTTAATAACTTTTAAGAAGATGAAGGGGTCTGAAGAACCGCTTGTGTGGATGCACTGCGCGTGGCCTGTGCCCTGTGGCGGGCAGCCCGACTCTTCACAGGGTCATTTATTTATTTATTTATTTATTTTTTGTGTGAGCCTTTTGTATTTGACAAAGAGAACAATTAGAGGTAATAGAAAAGTTTAAATCTAGCTAAGGCTGGTGCAGCTAGCAAATGGCTGATCAGGGATAAGGAGATTCTTCTTCTTTCGTTTATCTTAACTATCTATCGTGTTGTCTCTTGTTTTCTTTCAAATAGTTGTCCATGTCTTTGCATACGGAGAATTCATAAAAAAACAACATAGTATAAAACTGATCTGAACAGAATAAAGAAGGTGTTTTAGGTCTTCAAAACCAGACAAGAGGGAAGTCACTAGTGGCTGTTGTAGAGTCTCTCATTCTCTTCAAAATAGCTGTCCATGCTTTCATGTATATTGAAGTTCCACAAAACGAAACAGGCTGAAATAACACCATTAATTAGAACAAAGCAAAACAGGGATAAAAGTATTTGCCTTCAAAGAGATGGGAGAAGGAAATCGCCCCTATTTGCTACATTGCCTGTGGTCAGCCTCTCCAGGGATGTCCAGATCACTGGCCCCCACTTGCTAAGGGGGGCTGGGGGGAGATGTGATGTTTGAGTGAATGAGTGAAGTCCAGATGCAAAAGTGCAGACCACACACGCTGGGTTATCAGCTCAGATAGTTCATGGAGAGTGATTTCCAAGGCCCTCAGGGCCCTTGAATGATAAAAGTGGAAGCCCAGAGAATTTATAAGATGGCCAGGTAAGCTCCTCTGTGCCATAAAAGAACCACAATTCTTGAGAGAATGGTGTGCATGTTGCGTTTCTTCTCTTTTATTAGAATTTCCCCTCTGTCTCAGTGGAGAGCTTGGTGGCCAAAGAGTGAGTTCTCTAGACACACACCCGGCTGTAGGTGGATTCTCTGTGGTTGGAAACAGCTTTCCCTTCTCCTTCCCTTCCTCTTCCAGCCTCCAGTGCAGTTTCTAACATCATCGTAGTTAATGTCACCAGCACAGAGATGGCGCTGGAGTGGCAAAACACAGACCATGCCGCTAAATACGTCTACCACGTGCGGATCCAGTCTGCCAATGGCTCGAGGGAAACAAACAGCTCTCAGGAGGCAATCTTGCTGTCGGACCTCTGCCCGGGCACCCCCTATAACATCTCCATCTCTCCTGTGCTGGACCAGGTCTGGGGGAACTCCAGCAGCATCGTGCAGTACACTCGTGAGTCTCTCTGGCATCCTGCGAGGACAGGTGCTCCCTGCTTGTCACCAGCAGGCAGCACGGTTAAGTGACCGGGTGAAGGCCTGGGGAGTTCTGGGTCCAAGCGACCTTGGAGCAGTGTAAGTGAAAAATGCCAGCCTCAGCCCAGGCCTGCCGTCCTTCTGGGACCTGGGGTTGAAGCCGAGTGAACTTTAAGTCGCCCTCTGAAGCAGCAAGTGAGTTGGGCCGTGGGAATGAAGACATGAGAGTCTGCTTCGGGGCCACACACACTAGAGAACAGTCACGCTGTCAGGGTGGCACTGCAAGACCCTATTTGGACAAGGAGCTTTGTCTGCCACAGTGAGGGAGATGTTTTGCCTCACTCCAAACTAAATAAGTGGTGATGGTGTTTGTAGTATGCTTTTGGTATATTTGTTTCATCAGTCAGATTTAAGAGAAAAAAATGGGAAATTACATCTTAAAATATATAGTTCAGATAAACCTAATGTAGTAAAAGAAGCTGGGAGCTCACTGTGGTGTGTCTACCTGTAATCTGAGCTGTAATCCAAGCGTCCTGGGGAGGCTGAGGCCAGAGGACCACAGGTGTGAGCTTCAAAATAAAAGAAAGGGCCTGAGAATGTGGCTTAGTATGAAAGCTCTGGGTTCAGTGCATAGTACTAGGGGAAGAAAGGGAAAAATACTGAAAAGCTTTATTTCTCTTCAAATTTAATCTGTGTAATTATTTTCTTTCTTTTTTTTGGGGGGGGGTACTGAGAGTTCAGCTTAGGACCCTGTGCTTGCCAGGCAGGTGCTGTGCCACTGAGCTATATACCTGGCCCTATATAATTATCTTCTGAATGTCTTTTTGGGAAGTCTGTCATTTTCTGAGCCAGCAAATATTAGCGCTATTTATTTTTTCCAAAAAAGAAACTAAGATGGTTTTAGATGTAAATAAAGTTGTACTAGGATTCAAAATTCTTCATGCTTTTTCTTTTGTGTTTTTTTGGAGACAAGGTCTTGCTGTGTAGCCCAGGCTGGCCTACACTTTCCGCAATCCTCCTGCCTCGGCCTCCTGAGTATGGGATGACAGGTGAGCTCTACCACACTTGGCCTTATTGCTATTACTTTTCAATCCAGGGCCCAGCAGTGTGTCTGACATTGAAGTAAGTGCCAACGCTACGGCGGCCTACCTGAAATGGGAGAGCCTGGATACAGCCTCTCCTACCTACTCCTACCACCTTCTTATCAAGGAGGATGGGGATGGTGGCAGCACCACACAGAACATCACTGTCACTGGAGTCACGCATGACACAATCCTTGGATTAGTACCGGGCTCATCTTACACTGTGGAGATCTTTGCAGAAGTCGGGGGTGTTGAGTCCCTGGTTCCCAGCTGGAAGAACTTCTGCACAGGTGAGTGACCTGGTGCAGACTGCAGGTTCTCGGTGTGAGGACCAGGGGTGGGTAGTGTGGACACTGCCCTCTACAGTCCTGGTGGGTCAGCTAACGGCCATACATAGGTGTGGGTGATTACGGCCAAGGAAACGAATTGGGAGGAAGTGAGCAGGGGAGGGCAGTGGAGTGTTTTTCTGGGCTGCCCAGGAAGGTTCAGTGAAAGGTGACTAAGCACAGATCTGGGGACAGTGAAGGAGCCAGCTGTGTGCAGTGAGGGTCTCAGCTGTTGCAGCAAGGAGTGGCTGGCGTGAAGGCCCCGAGGCTGGAGGGAGCAGGCCAGGGTGAACTCGGTCCACAGAGCTCTCCCTCACTCCTGCCTTCCACTGTGCTGTTCAAGGGCCTCAGGCTGAGTCAGGAGTGGGGATCCCCCTGGGTCAGCCTCCCTGGGGACGTTAGAGCCAACACTTGGTCCTGGCTTTTCATGTTAGCAGCTCTGAGTCACCCAGGCTCTGTCTGCTGGCTCTAGACTTCTAGCTCTGGTTTCTGCGAGCCTGGTCACTGTTCCCTGGCTTGGTTGTAATTCCTGCAGCCCACAGCAGGGGGCAGCACTCAGACCAGCGTCCAGGTCAGGGTTGGGGTGTGGAGGTGTGGAGGTTTTGGGGACCGAGAGCTGCTGATGGGGACACCAAGATGGGGGGTGTGGAACTGCAGCCCATGATGCAACAGAGCAAACCTTGCCCTAGGGCTCTGAGACACTAATGATGACCTCTCACCCAGTGTACATGGCATGATGGAAGGCGATGGTGAATATGTAAATTAGGAAGAATTTACTATAGTAAAAGACACATGGTCATGAAGCCTCCTCAGCATACCCCCCTCACAGTGAACACATTTACCCTATTGTTCTTGCCACTTTCTGAAGCAGTTCTGCAAACCCCTGTCATGGCTGCCTTGATGTCCTGAATTGATTCAAAAGGTTCACCTTTTATGGTCATTTTGACTTTAGGGAAGAGCCAGAGATGGTGCCTGAGGTGGATGAAGACACAGTGTCACATTTTCACAAGCCTGCCTTTTTTGTTGGATGGCTCTGTGCAAATTGCATTCACCAGATTTTTGATCATGCCTCCTAAAGACACTCAGGGAAGAACACTCCAGAGCTGCTTCAGAAAGTGCTAGGAACCATGGGCCAGCTGTGTTTGAAGCAAAGGGGAGGATGAGAGGGGCATGGCAGTGTGTCTGACTGTAATACATGGTTAAAACCTTAAGATTCACAGCATGATCTGAATACCCCTGGTATTAACAGTTTCCCATTGACATCACTGTGGTGTTGGCCATCATTAAAACTACTGTCTGACACCCCACTTCCAAGAAAAAGACACTGATACCATTTACCCTGGATTATCCAGCATGTATGTGCATAGCCATCACCCTGAACTTGGATTTAGAAAACCTGGGCTCTAGTTCTGCTCCCTGTCAACTTTCATGAGGTTCTTGTTCTCCTCAAGCCTCAGTTTACTATCTGCAAGGTGGGATGGTGTGAACCTTACCCTGCTCCAAAGTGTTGCCAGGAGGGCCCCAGACAGGCCCTAGTCACAGTGTGTCCCTGCTCCTGGGACCCGGTTCTGTGCTGGGCATCTCAGGCCATGGCTGACACCCAGTGTCCCCTGACCCCTCACAGCTGAGCAAGATTTGGGTTCAGCCCTGCCTCCTCCACCCCACACTCCACCTGTCTCCCTCTGGCCTGCGTTCCTGAGTATCCAGAGCCTCAGGACAGCTATGCTTGCCTTGCAGAGTCTGCCCCTGTGGTCTCCTTTCATTGTCACACGGTTCCCCGGAACTCCAGCTTGGTCCTGACATGGAGCCGCCCTCCTGGCAACCATATCAGCTTCCAGCTGGGGCTCAGCAGTGGGACCTCGGTTAATACAGTGTATCACCTGGAGGGCTGCTGCCCAGATAACAGCACCGACTGTAGGACCGAAGTCCCGAGTTTGAATTACTCCACATGGTACAACATCAGCATTGCTACGGAGTCCTGCGGGGCCACAGCGGCTGCCGCCCAAAACACCTGCCTCACGGGCATCACAGGTGAGCTCCGGGGCTGTGCGCCTGGCTGGAACCCACTTCCGGCTTTACTTCCCCTGAGATACTTATTTTTATTGGCATAGACTGGGATCCAATTCTCTAGAAACCCAGGCTGAAAAAGCAGACTCATTCTTTTCATTCTGAAAGGATCTGTTGCTGTACAGAATAACCCATCGAGCCAGGCGAGGTGGCTCATGCCTGTAATCTCAGCACTCGGGAGGCTGAGGCAGCAGGATTATTGTGAATTTGAGACCAACCTGGGCTACAAAGTGAGTTCAAGGCCAGCCTGAACTGCATAGCAAGTCTGTCTCAAAAAGCCAAACCAAAAAAACAAAAAAAAAAACAAACAACAACAACAACAACAAAAAAAAAAAACCCCAGAATAACCTATTACCATTTTTTTCTTTTATGTAAGCATTTCCTTTATTGCATTCAAAAATGACTTTTTCTTGGTACCAGCACTCAAACTCAGGACCTGGTACTTGCCAGGCAGGCGCTGTGCCACTGGGCTATATCCTTTCCCCCCAAACTGACATTTTTATAGAAATACCCAAATCTACACAAAAGAGAGGGCAGTGTGATGGAATTCATATGCCCAGCCCAACTCTGGATAGTGTTTGTTTACATTCTCTCCTCTCTTTTCTTCAAGGGTAATTTGGAAACAAGTTCTGATCTTTATCTATTTTTATTTGTAAATGCTTCACCATATTTGCTTCAAAACAGGCACTTGTTTTTTCTTTCTTTCCTCCTATTATCGCTGCATTAACATTACCAATGTATTTCAGAAAGGAATAAACGACCAGATATTCAGACAAACTGAACATTTCCTTGGAATCCATATTAACAAGTTCTGAGCTGCTTTGGGAAATAGGAGATCAGTTATTACTCAGGGAATCTCTTAATCTTTTCATGCCCTGTGCTTTTTAAAATTTTTATTGGTAAATGATTACAGGACATACCGATCACATTCCTTGTGGGGTGTTGGTACATGCACCAACACACATCTTAATTATTATTTGTTTTTTTGAGACAGGGTCTCTCTATTGTAGTTCAGGCTGCCCTCAGACTTGTGGCAGGATCCTCCTGCTTTAGCCTCCTAAGTGCTGGAATTACAGCCACAGGCCCGAGTCAGACTGTTTTAATTAGGTCAGCTGTGTAATCTATTTTGAAATCAAAAAGTGTGAGTGCTGCTTTCTCAAGACCACTCACAACGTGAGCTTTAGGATTGTTTTGTTTTGTGCATGTACAAAATGCCACTGGGATTTTGAAGAGAAATGGCATTGAATTTGTAGATCACTTTGAGTACTTTCAACATTTCAATAATACTAATTTTTTTAAGCTGTGAACATGAGATTTCTTTCCTTCTGTGTCTCCTTTGATTTCCTTTATCAATGTCATATAGTTTTCAGTGTGCAAGTGTGGTTTCCTTCCAGAACCTCCTGCCCCCGACGGTCCCCCGAGCATCACATCAATCACCCACAACTCGGTCAGAGTCCAGTTTAGCGGGTTTGAAGCCAGCCACGGCCCCATCAGAGCCTACGCCGTCGTCCTCAGCACTGGAGAGGGTAAGGAGGTGCCCGCACTGTCTGCACAGCGACCCAACATGGCCCCATCAGGCCCCTGGCGGTCAGACTGGCAGAGTAGCATCCGGGTCCACGGGGCTGGAGGGCAGGGCGCATGCGCCTATGGCTTCTGGCTTTGGTCCAGGTCCCAGCCAATTCTCACTCTGCCATGTGCGTGAGAACAGTCACAGGAGAAATGAGAGGCACAAGTGTGGCTTCCCCTCTGTGCTGTTGACCTATGCAGGTGGGGTCAGACCTGCTGGCCTTGCACTGGAGTTCTCTTACAGCGTTAGGTTTTCTAGGTGGAAATGTTAGTTTTAATCAGCTTTGTTCCTTTTTTTTTGAGGCAAGGTCTGACTATGTAGCTCAGGCTAGTTGTGCAGGCCCAAGTCTCTGCTGTCACTTGAACTTACAGTGATCTTCCTGCCTCAGCCTCCTGAATGCTGGAATTACAGGCATGCACCACTAGGCATGGCTCCCAACTTTGTTTCCAACACTCAAGACACATGTACAGACATGTATACACACGCACATACACTCACAAACACACACACACACACATACAACACACACACACACAGGTCCTTACGTAGTGACTTCTTAAACAAAACTGGTTTGCATTTCTTCTAGCATCTTGCGGAGGCATCTTTGGTCACAAGGATACGATTTTAGGATGTGTCTTGAAAGCTGAGTGCGAGTGCTTTGCAGAGGCCTGGATCTAAAGTGCCAAATCGTGGTGTTTGGGGCAGTTCTTTAACCTAAATGTGTACAGGCAGGGCCCTTCTGCCACATGTTCCTGTGTCCATAAGGAAGAAAGGGACAAATATGCTTAGCAGTGAGGGGATCCTCAAGGGTAGACATTTGCTGATGTCAGAAACCTGCCTCAGTTTCAAAAAGTGGTGTTGAGCCTGCAAGTGTTGCACACCTGCAATCCCAGTACTCTGGGGGCCGAGGCAGGAGAATCACCATGAGTTCAAGGCCAACCTGGACTGCATAGTAAGACCCTGTCTCAAAAACCAAAAGCAAACAAATAAACCAAAAAAGATGTCCAGCTGTCTCTATTTTCTCTTCTTATCTTGGGTCCGTTTATTTTGTTCCGTTGTTTTCCAACAAAGCCTAAGTGTAGACCTTTACTGAAGAGGGCAGGTGATCATACAGGGTGATGAAGCTGCCCAGCGCTGGCATGTGATTGACAGAACCACAGGCCCTGGGCCCCCGGGGTGGACAGGGAATCCTACCCCATCCCAAGGGCAGGCTGACTGATGTTGGGCAAGGTCCTGTTGGTTTTTTGAACCTTCGTTTTTTTTTTTATTTTTCCTGGAGAATGGGCATGATAAGCTTATGCGTTGGGATTCATAGTGGTGAAATGAACACCTGTAAGTGAAGTACTGAGAATTTAACGGTGGCAGAGCCTGGCATCAAGGCTGCCTGAGGTGGCGTCACTTAGCTAGGTGCAAGCCCAAGTCTCTGCTGTCACTGAAGGTTTGCTTTCTGTGTGCCTCCCTAGCCAACCGCCCTACTCCAGATGTTCTGAGATACACCTATGCCGATTTCAAAAAGGGCACCTCAAAAACCTATGTGACATACCTCATATGCACGGAGGACGAGGTGCCGTCCCAGCGCTCAACCAGAACCTTGAAATACGAGATTGAAGTCGGCAATGAGTCCATCACGGAGGGCTACCACAATGGCAAACTGGAACCACTGGGCTCCTACCGGTGAGGCCTTTGGTCCCTGCAGGCTTGCCTGAGCAGTTTGTGCTCAGTGCTGTCCTCTGTGGTGGGGATGTGGACCAGCATCCTCAGCGTGTTTTCTGTCCTCGCAGGGTCTGTGTGGCTGGCTTCACCAACATCAGCTTCAGCCTTCAGCATGACAGACTCATCAATGGGGCTGAGAGCTACGTGTCCTTCAGCCCCTACTCGAAGGCTGTGTTCTTGCCTCAGGACCCAGGTAGAGGGGGACAGCAGTCCCGGCCCCAGCTCACATCCCTGGTGAGGTCCTCTGTGGCAGCTGTGTTTCTTAACCCTTCATTATTTGGCTCTTTGATCTCACCCCTGGGCCCACGTGCCAGGTACCTAGCATGACTTTTCCTTTACAGACTCCTTCAGCATTTGCAGTCCTGGGAGACTTGGGAATTCTCTTTTCCAACCTCCTTTTAGATACAGGCTGCCAAGGCCCAGAGAAGGGAAGTAACTCGCCTGGGCACACAGTGGCTTAGTTGCAGTCCTGAGATTGTGGCCTTGGTGTCACTGTTCCTATCCGTGGTTGCAGAGCTAAGTGACAGGGGAACTACTGGGACCTAGAGAGGGTACGTCCCTCAACCCCAGGCCAGAGGCTAATTGATGGGCTTGTTTGCTAGGTTTTCAGGCTTGGTAGCTTTTGGCTACTAGAAAGAAATTCCTACTAGAACATATAAAGAATTGAAAAAACTAGGGCCCCAGATTCAAAGATGCAATCCAAAAATGGGCATCTGAGATGAATACACACTTCTTAGATGAAGAAATATGAATGACAAATAAATACAAGAAAAAATGTTCACTATCACTGGTCATTTGAGAAATGCAATCTAAAACAATACTGAGATTCCACCTCATCCCAGAAGAATGGGGTCCAGTGCCATGGTGTGTAACTCCCATGTATGCATGCCTTGCATGTGTGTTACACACACATGTGTACACATGTATCCGCCAGCCCTCTGCTGTGGGTCCATGTGGCCCCTTTGGATCCTTCACCAGGTGCCTGTGTTTCAACCCCAGGTGTCATCTGTGGAGCTGTGTTTGGATGCATCTTTGGTGCCCTGGTCATTGTGGCTGTGGGAGGCTTCATCTTCTGGAGAAAGAAAAGGTGACATTGCTTATGTATGATCCTCTGCTTTTCAGGGAAGCTTTTCTTGTGGGAAATTCCACACACTCTCACAGCTCTGTGATGAGTGGTACAGAGGACACTTGTGTCCCATGGTCCACAGTGCTCATGGTGTGGCAATCTTCCTTCCTTGCTTGCCCTCCTCCCTGCCCATGTGAAGCCTGTGTATCCATTGGGATTTGTTTGCTGCCAACAAGGACTCTCTGCTTGACACAGCATTCTGTGACCCTGCCAGGGCTGTGGACAGTGCTCATAGTACAGTTTGGCATTAGCTTCTGATTTACTTTTTGGAATTACGAGTCCATGACTGAGTAAAGATGCTTGATACACACACACACACACACACACACACACATCACATTCCTCTGGCTAGGACAAAATAACTAACACTTGCAACCTCAAGGAGGAAAGGTTCATTTTGGGTTATGGTTTCAATGGGTTCAGTCCATGGTTTGTTGGTTCCAAGGCAGAAATGGGGCCTGGTAGAAGAAAGCTGTTCAACCATCACAGCCAGGAAGCAGACAGAGAAGGGAAGAGCCAGGGGACAGTGACACATCCTTCCAGGTCACACAGCACATTCAGTGACTGAATCACTAATGGAGAGGTTCACGATGGGTACAGCATCCCCATGACCCAATTACTTTCCAGAAGCCCACCTCTGAACACTTTTGGGGGGCATTCTAGATCTAAACCATAACATGTGGTAAATAAAAACAAAAACCAAAATACTGTCACAGAAAAAAGTGATCTGTCATCTCAGCACCTACAGATAACTACTCATTTCATCTTCTTTTTAAGTGGCTATGGAGTATTTAACCTTGTAGAAGTACTATCACTTATTTAACCAATTTACTGGATGTTTTCAGTTTGGGGGCCACAGTTACAAACCCTTCTGCCCAAATCTCTGTGGGTGTCCAAGCTGGACAACCGCTGGGTCTGCGGTTGTACGAATTTTCAGTTTTCATAAATGTTGCCAAGTTCTCTTTCAGAAAGTAGTTTTTTTTTTTTTTTTTGTGTCTTTTTCATTTTTACTGGTACCGGGGATCGAACTCACGACTGCCTGCTTGCAAGGCAGGTGCTTATGCTGCTGAGCTAAATCCTCAGCCCCTCAGAAAGTAGTTTTTACACCCAGGATAGAGTTGAGCCAGCAACATCAGAGAGCTTAGGTGCCCCACCCACACTGGATTTAATACAATGTCTGATTTACTACAATAATGTATTAAGCTTTTCCCCAAAGCAGTAGGAAATAAAAAGCCTTGCTTCACAGTAAGGTAATGCCACTGATGCATACTACAAGGAAATTCCTAATGCTGGCTGCAGGAAGACTGCTTTGTGATAGAAAAAAAGAGACTGGTTTACAGCTTCATAATTGGTTTTTGCTGATTGACCCTTAAGCTGAGTGAGCCAGTGCCTGGGGAAAGGCATTTGTTAGACACACTGGAGGGGGAGATGCAGAGGGAAGCTTTTTGCGTCTAACTGGCCTTTTGTTTCTTTTCAACACAGGAAAGATGCAAAGAACAGTGACGTGTCCTTTTCCCAAATTAAGTAAGTCTCTAGAATTAGGGTCAGGACTCACTTTCCGGGTCTGTTCTGTGACCATACTGTCATGACCTTGCTGTCATTTTCCTGGTCGATCACCTGGGAGTTCTCAGTAGTTTCATTTTGCAGTAAGGGACCTGTGATTTATATTGACTTCCTGAAGCAAGAGCCCTTGCCATTTTCTACACTTTTACATACATATTTAATAGTAGGTGTTTGCAAATATCATAGTTACCTTCATTTTGGGGGGCAGGGCTTGGTATATGAATATAGCGTATTTGGTAATACAGATTTTATGATTTAAAAAAATTGACAGCATTATCAAGATCTAAGGAAGGGCAGAAGTTATGTAAAACTCACAAATACGACTATTTCATACAACAGAGACGAATTTCCCGATTCCATTTTCGGTGTTTGATAAATAATAATATTCTCACCTCTGCTCCTTGACCCCTCCCCCATCAGAGGCTGGTTTTTGTTACTCTGGGAAGATATTTATTTCCTAAACAAATGACTTTTTCTAATCGATTATGTTTTTTTTCTTTCCCTTCCTGTGATAAAGACCTAAAAAGTAAGTAACTTCTTTACTTTTTATACGTAACTTAGATTTCTCTATTTGGAGTACACACTCTGTGAATGTAAAGAAAATCCTGACAGCTTGTTTTGCTCCCTTAGGTCCAAGTTGATCAGAGTGGAGAATTTTGAGGCTTATTTTAAGAAGCAGCAGGCTGATTCCAACTGCGGGTTTGCGGAGGAGTATGAAGTACGTGGCTGTAGTATCGTGTGTGTTTTTCATTGTTTTGCGATTCTTTCTGAATGCTGGGAACTGTTTTTCTCTTACGGCGAATCTTTGGGTTTGGGCAACGCCTGGAGCGGGGAGAAGTTCGTATCCATTGCCTGGAGCCCCACTCTGGCCCCTGAGTGCTCCCACTGACCCTGGCTTTTAGCAAATTGTATGTTTTTGTTTTGTTTCTCTGGTACTGAGCTTTGAACCCAGGGCCTTCCCACTGAGCTACATCTCCATTGCTTTTTATTTTTTAATTGTGTTGTTGAGTTGCCCAGTCTGGGATTAAGCTTTCAGTTCGAGAGTGTTGGGATTACAATTAGGCATGGCTTTGTCCTTTGCCTTTGTTTAAATCTTTGGGTTCCTTTCTTGTGGCTGCCATAACAAAAGTACCATAAGATGTGTGCTTTAAACAATAGAGAGGGATTGTAGCTTTAGAGGCCAGAAATCCCCAATCTTGGTGTTGGCTGGGTCCGGCCCCTTCCCGGGTGTCTTGTGGTTGGGCCCTGCCCGTCAGGTCCAGCTGCTGGTAGCTGTGTGCCCTCTGTTTTGTGGCAGGGCACTCCTGTCTCTGCCTCTGTTTCCCCGAGGTGTCTCCTCTTGTTGCCTACATCTTGTTGCCTCTTTTCCTCCTGTGTGGGTGCTGCCCACATGGGATCAGGGTCCCCTGCTTGTGTAACCTCGTTTTAAATTGATTACATCTGCAAAGACCCAATTTCCCATGAGGGCCCTCCTGGGGCTAGAAATTCAGCTTGTTTCAGGGGGCACAAGTGAACCCTCACCCCTCTGTATCCCCACTCTGTTCTACCTGGTGTAAATAGTACTTGAAGGCTAAATAGATAAACAACTTCTTATTCTTGCTTTCAGGATCTGAAGCTGGTTGGAATCAGTTTGCCTAAATACGCTGCCGAGCTGGCTGAGAACAGAGGGAAGAATCGCTACAACAATGTCCTGCCCTGTGAGTGAGCATCCCATGCCACGTCCCCGTCTGCCTGTCACATCTGTGACAGTCAAGGAGAGCCGTCCATTAGTCACCTGTCATATGCCAAGTGCTGCCCAGAGGGACGTGACCCTTAATTTAATCCTCACAACCTCCCTGTGCACAAGTCGGGAGTGGGAGGTTTATTTTACAGATAAGGAAACTGATGTGGAGATGATTTCTTTTTCCTGAGGTCAGGTAATAATGGCAAAACCAGGCTGTGGGCCAGGTCTGAGAGTCTCATTCAGGGAAAAGGATAGAATTGGGCTCTTATGTGAGTTACTTTTACATCGCAGGGACACAACACCTGACACCCCCATAACTCAAAGGGGGGGAGGTTTATTTCGGTTGACATTTTTAGTACATGATTGGCTGGCTCTAGCACAGAAAGAGCACGACGGATGGGGTCTGGTAGAGGAGATCTGCTCTCCTCATGGTGGCCAGGAAGCAGAGAGAGAGGGGCAGAGCCAGTGAGAGAGGTGTATACATCCGGGTCGGGTCCCTGGTAACCTCCCTCCCTGCCCTGCCCTGCTTCCTAAGGTCACCTTTAGCTGGAGCATCCTCAGGACTCTGCCACCTTTCAGAAGCCCCACTGATGAGTGCCTAAGGCTTTAAGGGGACATTAAGATTTATGAACCGTGGGCTGTGTGTCGTGTATCTACCTTATCTCTCAGCTCTTCTTCCTCAGTTTATACAGCTCTGGATAGAAGTGGGAAGAGCAGGCTGGTAGTCACTCTTTCTGTTTGTCCAGATATATCTGTGATAGGTTCCTTCATCTGTAAAACAGGGTAAACACTTGTAGGGTAGTTTTTTGGGGAAAAAGCAAACTTGCTTAATCTCTTCTCTGCTCATGGTGGACCAGCATGGCAGCTGATAGTAGTCAGCTTGTTTGATCTGAGATGGGCGGGTGTATCAGTCAGCTTTCCCTGTCAAGACACAGCACCAGACCCCCATGGTGTAAGGTAGGAGAGGTTAACTTGGTGCATGGTCTCAGGACATTCAGTCCATGGTTGGTCGGCTCCAAGGCAGGAACTTCATGGTGGACAGGGCCTGGCACAGCAGAGATGCTCAGGTCATGGTGGCTGGAAAGTAGAACAGGGGGAAGTATGTTTTTCTTTTCTGGGTGCAGCTTCCCTGAAATATTTGTTTCTAACAAGGTCCTTTCGTCTTTTTCAGATGATACTTCTCGTGTCAAGCTTTCAGTCCAGACCCATTCCACAGACGACTACATCAATGCCAACTACATGCCTGTAAGTGGGCACCAGGTCATTGCTATGAGCCTTTCGTGGTGTCTTCTTCTGTGCCCTTGACGCTGAATCTGTGTCTTCTGTCCTCAGGGCTACCATTCCAAGAGAGATTTTATTGCCACACAAGGGCCTTTGGTCAATACTTTGAAAGATTTTTGGCGTATGGTCTGGGAGAAAAATGTATATGCCATTGTTATGTTGACCAAATGTGTTGAACAGGGAAGGGTAAGTTTTTTGTTTTAAAATTTCATATTAAATTAGTTCTCATTATGTTAGAAGGTCTTTAAGTATCTTTGAAAACTTTTGTCTTCTTAAAATACTACTCTCAAACATGGGTATCTTTATTCTTAGAAATTTGTTTTCCGTCTTTTAATGCCCTTGCTGGGATAGCAAATAGCAGGAGTGGTGACTATGACCCAGGTCCAGGGTGAGCTGCTGCTTGGCTTGAAATCAGTTTTCATGCAGAAATGATGATGCGGCATGGGAAGATCTGAGTTTTATGAGAAAACTTCCCATTTTCAAAGAGTTGTAAGAGTTTTAAATTGAAAGCAAGCAAACCATTCTAAGGAGTACAGAGCTCCCAGGCAGGGGCCTGACTCAGTCCCCGATGCCAGGTTCCTTACCTGCTCTCCCTTTTTGTTTTTGAGACAGGGTCTTAGTAAGTAGTTCAGGCTGGTCTTGAACTCACTGTGTAGCCCAGACTGGCCTCAGACTTGTAACAGTCCTCCTGCCTCTGTCTCCTGAGTGCTGGGATTACAGGTGTGCACCACCATGCCTGGCTCCCCTGGTCTTGCTTTTGAGTGTGTAGTCAATGGCAGGTGGTGTGATCTGTGTGTTTTCATACAAATGCAATTTTACTTTAGACCAAATGTGAAGAGTACTGGCCTTCTAAGCAGGCCCAGGACTACGGGGACATAACTGTGGCAATGATAGCAGAAATTGTTCTCCCAGAGTGGACCATCAGAGATTTCACAGTGAAAAATGTAAGTAAGAGGCCATGGTGGCTGCATCTTAGGAATTGTGATCTATGAACTTTGGGGTGTGTTTTAAGTTACTATTAACCAATGTGTTATTTTACGTATTAGAGAAATACTCACTTTGTGTTCTACACAATAAAGCAATCCATTTAATGTGTACTCCAAGCAGCCCATAGTTTTGCTATCTTGAGGGAAATTTCACACTTTTCCTGAGGAAAGTGAATCTCAAGGGCCTGGCTCTAGCAGTAGCCCTTCCTTTCCTTCCATTCCCAGGAGACTTGCTCATGGAATTTTTGTCATGAGGCAAGGCCTTTTGAATTACTTGCTTGGGGAGATGGCATCGGGGGGGCCATTTGCTGTCAGGAGCAGTTTATAACAGATGCATGCAGCTGGGCTCGGTTCACAAACTTAATTCATTCCATGATTCTGAGGAAGACGGTGCTCTCCTGTCCATCAGCCAACGCAGAGTTTAGGAATGGAAGGAAAATTTTGGTGAATGCTGCTGTTCTCGAATCAAATTGTTCACGAGCAGAGGCATTCGTGAACCAAGGCATCAATGTAGTAGGATTCCTGGGCATAACTTAGTCTTAGTAACTTTTCTCTTGTTGCTGATTCAAAATATCTGACACCCAAAATTAAAGGAGGAGAGGTTTATTTGACTGACAGTTTGTAGAGGTTTCAGTCCATCATTGACTGGCTCCAAGACAGGGTGATATAGCAGAGGAGCAACAGTTCATGGTGGCAGAAGACAGTAAAAGCTGGCAAGGGAGAGACAAAACTCTTTCTGTCCCTTATGTTGTATGCAGCTTACCCGCCCCAGGACAGGTGTAGCACTCACATCCTTAATCTTAGCCAGAACTATGCCAACCCAATCAGTGGACTGACTCAGTAATCACACACCCTTCATCCCAGCATCACACACTTTAGATCTGGCAACCTCTAAGAAAACCTTAGGACCACATGAGGCTTTGGGGGACATCTAGATACAAGCCATAACAAGTGCATTGGCTTCTTTATCCCCCAAAGTGACAACCAAATCATTTCACCCATGCAGACATTTCAGGAAGTCAGGTTTGTGTCCTTTCTCTCTTTTTAAGGGTGTTTGAGAGAGGCAGTGCCATGAAGACACTGTGATCTCTACTCATGGATGTGGGGCTGCGTCTAAGCCTTTGCAGTTTACATCCAGGGTATAAAATAAGCATCCCCTTTTGATCTGGTGGATTTAAGTCTGTGGTCCAGAAAATAATCCAAAACCAGGGATAGAATTATTTGTCAAAGAGATGAACACCAGCATTATTTGGAGGAAAAGATTGGAAACCATGCAAACACCCAGATTTTCAAGAATGAATAACTAAACCATGACTTCACGTCTTACAGTCACTGCTTAGCTGGGAGAAGGGTTGGAGGTATAGCTATACCATCAGCCTTCTTTGTCCATGGGTTCTACATCCGTGAATTCAGTCCAGTTGGGTTTAAAATTATTTGGAGGCAAAAACAAAAAACAAAAAACAATTACATCTGTACTGAACATGTACACAGCATGACTGCTATTTACATGGTGTTAACATTGTAGTTTAGGTACCATTAACATTTATATTGTATTTTAGGTATTATAGACAATTCAGAGATTTTTTTTTGTCTTTTTGAGACAAGGTTTTGCTCTGCAGTTCAAGTTGGCCTTGAACTCACTTTGTAGTCCAGGTTGGCCTTGAATTTGCAGTGATCTTCCTGCCTGTGCCTCCTGAGTACTGTGATTACAGGTGTGTGCTACCAAGCCTGGCCTCAGAGATGTTTAAAGTGTCACTCCAAGTTACTGAAAGGCAGGGAGGCATCCTGAGAAATGTGGAAGGTGTGTGCAGAAACCCAGATGGTACCACCTACAACATACCTGTGCTCAGCACACATCGGTCACATGTGTGTGCTGTCATTGGCTGAAACATTGTGAACACCTCAGTACCAGAGCATGCATGTGGGCTGTATGCAGATGCTGTGCTGTTTTACTTAAGGGGGTAGAGCTGGCGTGGATTTTCATATCTGAGGGGTCCTGGACCCACTGTCCCCAGGTTCTGAGCCATGACTATAATTAGTTAGTGGTATAGGGGAACGAAACTCCCAATGTACTGTATGCCCAGTATGAGTTCATGTTTTCTAAAAATGAAGAATGAATTTTAGGAGCAACGGAGGTTAAGAGCAGAATATATTTATTGAGAGAGAGAAAGCTTCTGTCTGAGAGAGAGACAGAGGGGTCCTGAGTGAGTTGCCAAGGACTCTCATCTTTTCCAGAGATTTTTATAGAGTAAAACCACAAAATGGGGCAGGTCTCAGGTGGGGGGAAACACCTGAGAAACTCGCAAGCTGGACATGAGGTGAGACATGGTCAACCAATAAGAATAACTGCATAAGTAAAATTGGTTAAATTGGGGACAAATGGGGAAGTAAATTACATAGCAAGTGGGCATGTAGGGGGTTGGGATGGTGACTCCTGGTTTCCTCAAGGTGATTCATATCTATTTAGAGTATCACTCCCTGATGCTTAACTTTAGGAATTATGTGCGTGCATTTGATTGATCTTTTGTCTTGAGATCTGTCCCACAGTGGAGGTGTTTACCTCCCCCACATTGCAGGGTATCTGGCTTTCTGCACTGGTTTCTTTGAGGGCCCAGTCCTGTCTGATTCCCTATAATATTTCTTTCTTTTTTTTGTCTTTTTCTTTTTTATCGGTACCAGGGATCGAACTCACGACTGCCTGCTTGCAAGGCAGGCGCTTATGCCGCTGAGCTAAATCCTCAGGTCCCCCCCCCCCCCATAATATTTCTATCTAACTCAGCTGGCTGTCACAGTAGGATGCAGTGTAATTGAGACACATTCTGAGACTGATGCTCATGCAGATGGTGAAAAGCCTGGAGGTAGAATGGGTGAATCTTACCAGGTGGTGGGCTGGGTTGTAGTTTATGAGTTATCCTGGAAGACTAAGTCATGGGTGAAGTGGAGTCTGTGAAAAGCTCTTTCTCTACTAACTGCTGTGGCTGAAAGAGTCTGGGCTGTTCCATTTCCTCCTCCAGAGGCTGCATTTCCTGCTGTCACCTGCACTGATTTGGCCACCAGAGTCATTGAGTTCCCAGTAACTACAACACCTTTGAAAGGCACCTGCCCATTTCTGCAGGTTTTGCGCATTTCAGCAGACTCCTCTGCCCTCCTTGGACTTAGCTCTTGTTGGGGGAATGTGGTGTGCGGAACCGACCACATTGTTTAAAAAAATTGCTCTTGCTGGGCGGGTGGGGTAGTGTGCATCTGTTGTCCCAGAGTCCTGGAGGCTGACACGGGGAGCCCAGACTGGGCAATTTAGCAATTTAGGGAGACTCTGTCTCAAAATAAAAATAAGAAAAGGCTAGGGGTGTAGCTCAGTGTGCAGGCCCTGGGTTCAAGCTCCATTTTAAAATTTTTTTTTGCTGTGATTTTTAAAAAAAAATAAACTCAAATCTCCTATTTCTAATACAGCTTTTTTATTTTTATTTTTTTTTTATTTATTTTTTTTTTGTCTTTTTTCTTTTTATCGGTACCGGGGATCGAACTCACGACTGCCTGCTTGCAAGGCAGGTGCTTATGCCGCCGAGCTAAATCCCCAGCCCCAATACAGCTTTTTTAAATTATAGGAGTCAATCTAGGATCTCATGTGACATTTAGTAAAATATTCTTTTAGTTACACAAAAGCCATCGATACATTTACTTTTTAAACCTTTTTAAGAATGATGTGGACGAGGCTTAGCTGCCTGGTGCCCTGCCTGTCCCCTCAGTGTGTGGCTGCCTGAGGCTCCCACCCTTGCACCCTCTGGGTGCTGGGCGCAGTGGGGTGGTCCCTAAGGCACATGCCGAGCCTCATGTTGTATTTGGTGAATCACCTTTGGTTTTGTGGTCGAGACGTTCCCAGGAGGGTCCTGGGTGCTCGGGGCTCTATGGAGGTGCAGGTGTAAGATGTGAATCTGTCACTGGCTGGCAGCCAGAGAGGGGGCGAAAACTGAACTCGAACCCAGAGTGTTCAGTACCTTGCTGACTCGGAGATAAGACAAGTGTGGAGGAATTCAGTCCACTTCCCCGAATCTTTGCACCTTATTTTTTTGGTGGGGGTGAGGGGGACATACTGGGGTGAACCTGGAAGCCTTCATACTGAGCTACATCCTCAGCTTATTTCATTTTTTTATTTTAAAAGTTTGACACAGGATCTCACTGTGTCCCTAGGTTGTCAAGGCTTGGCTCGAACTTGCAATCCTCCCGCCTCCGCCTCCTGGAGTGCTGGCCTGGCAGATGTGCACCACCCCACCTGGTTTTCTTGCTCCTCTCAGGAGGTGGTGTTCAACCCTCCTTCCTGGCTGTGTTAGGAGGGTTCTATGAGCAAGACAAAGTGTGCAAGCACCCCTGTGACTGGAGTGCGAGTGTAAATGTTTGATTTCTAGCCTAACCATCCTGTGTACCTGCCATTTATCCCTGGCAGTTCGTTGCCCCGACTTTCCTCGCCTTTCCTGGCAGCCCGTGCCTCTGCCTCTCACCCCTCTGTTGACTTGTAGGTACAGACAAGTGACAGTCACCGGCTGAGACAGTTCCATTTCACCTCTTGGCCGGACCACGGTGTCCCCGACACCACAGACCTGCTCATCAACTTCCGGTACCTGGTTCGGGACTACATGAAGCAGAGTCCTCCGGAGTCCCCGATTCTGGTGCACTGCAGGTAGGGGCGCTGCTCGGCTGTGATGGCTCAAGTACACCCAGGCATTTTTCAGCGCTGCAGAAATGCACTAGGTGTTTATGATTCAAGAAAAAGGTTTCAGGAAGTCCACGCATGGCTTATTCCCTAGGCCCTGAGATTAATACAGGGCTTGGTGAACCGTAGCTCATGGCCAGATCTGGTGTCACTGCAGCAGCTGTGCCCCTAGTTTGCATGTTGTTAAGTGGCTGTGTTTGTGCTATCGTGGCAGGGACCATGTGTTCTGTGGAGCCGAAGATATTTATTGTCTACAGAAAAGTGTATGCATTGCTATTCTAGAATAGGAAATTAGCTTTGAAATTAAAGGATTTAAGATAGGCCTGGTGGCACACACCTGAAATCCCAGCACTTGGGAGGCTGAGGCAAGGGGATTGCCTCAAATTTGAAGCTGGCCTAGGCTACATAGTGAGTTCAAAGCCAGCCTGAACTATATAGTGAGACTGCGTCTCCAACAAACAACTCCCTGCCAATAAAGGAATTAACTTAGGGCAGAAGAAGAGCTTTGATGCCTGAGGGGTGCAGATGGATAGAACTGGCCCTTCTAGGTTACCCTAGCAACTCGAATGGGACTGAGATTTAAGAAGTCTAACATGGCGCCTTACTTGTGACCCTGAGTTCAAAAGTGGGTTTGGGACTCAGGCCTCAATGCCAGATATGGAAGCCTGACTCACTGAGGTTTGCAGGGGGCAGTGTTTGCTCAGATCCCAGGCCGCAGGAGCACGCAGCTGTTTAGATGGGGTCAGCCGGGACCCCCGGTAGGGGGCACCGCTGATGCACTGCTTCCCCTTCCTTTCAGCGCTGGCGTTGGCAGGACGGGCACTTTCATTGCTATTGATCGTCTCATCTATCAGATCGAGAACGAGAACACTGTGGATGTGTATGGCATTGTGTATGACCTCCGCATGCATCGCCCCCTCATGGTGCAGACCGAGGTGAGAGACATTCACGCCAACCCTCCCTGCCCCCATCCCTGTGCTTCTGCGACCCCTGACTGGGGTGCAGTAGCTCATCTTTCCGGGCCTCTGGCTTTCTGTGAGTGCTGCTGGATTTCTTGGCAGGCTCTCAACTGAGCTGACCTAAATGGCCCTCTACAGGTGGCGCAGTAGGACCCGAGTCAGGAAGGGAGCTGCTGACTTTCATCAACCCCACATTCTTTACCCTATCCCTTTGACTTAAATAATCTTCCCAAGTCTCCAGACTTTGACTTCTGGGCTTAAATTTATGAAACTGGTTAGTTTCACTCTTTGTTTGTAAGCAGGTACGACTGTCTTTTAAAATATGCAGATGAAATAGGTTTATCAAGCTAGATGTGGTGGCATGTGCTTGTAATCCCAGCACTTTGGGAGGCTGAGGCAGGAGGATTGCAGCCTAGGCAATTTAGTGACTGTCTCCAAATAAAAAATAACAAGGGCTGGGGGTATAGCTCAATGTAAAGACCCTGGATTAATCCCTGGTACCAAAAACAAACCAAACCAAAACAAACCAAACCAAACCAAAACAAAACAAAAACAAGCCTATGGCATTTAAGCATTAAGCATTTTATCCTCATGCAGCCCTGTAAGTGTGACAGAAAGGAAGTCATCATGAGGGCCAAGGTGGGGCTGCAGGAGAGAGGACCCTGCCGGCCTGTCTTTTCGGGAGTGCTCCCAGCAAGGAGAGCTGGGAACCTTTTCATCCAGTCCAGTGGGTGCTCTCGGGGTGACTGTGTGCCATGCGACCAGGATGGAATCTTTACTTTACGGCAGGCCACAGCCCTGAGCCTCGGAGACCTTGTGTGCAGCCGAGCAGGGCTGGTTCCGGAGCCTGGTGCCCCGCACGCTTTGATTTGGCACCTCCTTCCCCCTTCCTTCCATCTCCAGGTCCCCTTCCCATTTACAAAAGATCTGTTTCCTACTGGTTATCTTCTCTTCTACTCTTTAAATTATTACACCTGGGGCTTCTCATAGAAGAGGAGTAATTCCATATTTAAGCTGACATGTCTGATTTATTTCACTTCATGGTGTAGTCTCAAGGTGCACGCGCATTTATAAACACAAATGCGTTTGTGTGTGCATGTGCACTCACAGGGAGTACTTGGAAGAAATCATGTTCTGTTTTGAATGTGACACTTCCTCATGATGTCTTCCTCCATGGTATCACAGATGCCTTTCTGTGTCAGCGTGTGCTCCTTCTCCCTTTTGTAATAGTGACCTGTGGCTCCCAACAGCTTGTCCAAATGTGGTCCTCTCGCTGTGTAGTTCCAGCTGGCCATGAACTCACAGGGCTCCTCCTGCCGCAGCCTCCCAAGTGCTAGGGTTACAGGTGTGGGCCTCCATGCCCAGCCCATTGGCTTTGAGGAACCACCACTGTTAAGAATTTCAGGTTCCCCTCACTCCACAGGACATGGCTTAAGATAGTTGTGCTAACCCCACTGCTGCGAAGCCTTTTCTGCCTTTTGCATATTCTCAGGCATCTGCTTGGGGCCAGACAGGAGACCGTGCCCTCTCCTGAGAATGACTCATGATGAATCTTGTCTGTGCTTTCTGATTTTCACTGAGCCTTACGGCATTGTATACCTTGCAACCCCTAGCCATTAACTGCTGGGCAGATGGGGCTTAGGCGATGGCCATCTGTGTGAGTGGAGTTTGGGGGCTCCTCCTGGGGCCTTGGGCTCATTTGCTTTCTCTCTCCCCCTGTTGCCCTCAGGATCAGTATGTTTTCCTAAACCAGTGTGTCTTGGATATAGTCCGATCACAGAGAGACTCCAAAGTGGATCTCATCTACCAGAATACCACTGCAATGACCATCTATGAGAACCTGGAGCCGGGAGGCATGTTCGGAAAGACCAATGGTTACATCGCCTGAGTCCAAAGCAGAGGCCCTGGAGGGCAGCCGGACATCACCCCCACAGCCACGGAGAATGCCCTGGTCCACCTGTTTTCCTGTGTCTCAAATCTCAGTTCTCTGTTGTGTTCTGCTAGGAGCCGGCTGTGGGCAGGGTGTGAAGCCGAGCTGGTGAAACCTGGCAGCCACAAGGTGCAGCTGGGGCCGTGGGCTGTGGTGGGGGCGGGGAGTCAATCGCTCACATTCCTCATGACCAATGGGAAGAGTTCATTTGCCATTTTCCTTGGAATTTGTGGAAAACCAGAAAAAGTGAGCTAGGATTTTTTTTTCCAAAACAGGTTTAAAAAAAAAAAAAACAGCAAGACATTTTTCTGTGATTCACATGCTTCTGCCAGGATTGTGTTGGGTTGAATATATTTTAAGTATCAGAGGTCTATTTTTACCCACTGTGTCTTGGGATTGAGCTGATGGAAAACACACAATTGCAGGCGGTTCTTGTGTCAGGAGGGGTAGAGTGGCGCCTCTTCCGGTTGGGTTTTCTATTTGAACATGTGCCTTTTCTGAATTATGCTTCCACAGGCAAAACTCAGTAGATTTCTCTATTTTTGTACTGAATCTCATAATTGGAATATACGGAATATTTAAACAGTAGCTTAGCAGGGAGATTCACCTTGTAACATTCCGGTTTTCACTGATGAGAAGAGACCCCTGCCTTGCCCCTCCCAGTTTCCTGCGGTTCCAGCCCGTTGATTGGCTGAGAATGGAAACTACGTATATCACGGCCTCCCTGCGGGTGGGCGTGGCGTGCCCGGGGAGTCCTCGGTGACAAAACTCCTGTCCTCCTTCCTGTCTTCTTCCTTTTCTCCTTTCTGTCTTTGGTAAAAAGGATTATTTAAAGGTGCAATATGTGACTTGTGATTCCTGATGCTCTGGGTTTCTAGTAACGTTTTACTCAGGTTGGGATTTTTAATGTGTGTCTGTGTGTCCGTGTACATGTGTGCGTGTGTGTGCGTTTTGAAAAGCGTGGCAATCTGTGAACACTTCAGTGTGAACTCAGTGTCAGATGAACCCTCCTTCCCCGAAGTCCACTGGCTTTAGTCTTTGTCTGCAGTGACACACATTGGTATCTGCTGTATATATAAATCCCAAACCCCTACATCAGTCATTCCTAGGAATTGAGGTGTACAAAGTTTGATTTGTATTAAAGATGTAATTATTATTTTTAAAACCTCTTTTCACTCTACTGCTGCTGTAATTACTTTGATTTTTTAAAAAATGTAGATTATTATTATTTTTTTTGGCTTCAGGTTGTGTATTCACCAAGGATATCAGAATTTATATGGATGTATTTTATTGGTACCTAATCTGTAAACTTGGCAAGGCATTAACATGAAAGGATTGGTTTCTTTTCTTTTATGCTGTGGCTCAGGTTATGTGGAAGATGTTTTGAGTTTCTTCTTCAATAGGCAATGAAGTATCCATGGTCAGATGAAGGAATCACCAAGTCCCGGAGCCCTGTGGCCGCTTTCCGCTCAGGACTCAGGTTTCCTGTTTAAACAGGCTGGGGGGCCTTTGGTGGCCTGGTCCCTGTGGGCCCCAGTGGGCCTCTGTCCTGTCCGGATGCTGCTGGGCTCTGCACTTCCCCTGCACTTTGATGACAGCCCAGAGGTGTTAATGGGTACATGAGGGCTCTGAAGGGTGTACTGCAATGGACCTCAGGCCCTAAAATTGTTCCCATTTCGTGCTGTCTCTGACCCCCGCCCCTGCCCCTTGGAGGTACTGAAAGGATTAAAAGGAGGGATCGTGGCAGCGTCATATTTGGTGGAGAATTTTACTTCTCAAATGGAAATTGCACTTTCTGCAAATCCTTTGCATTTGTTAGTGTTAAGAGGTTCACTCTGTTTCAGCTCCTTCCAGGAATGAGTGGGTGGGCCCAGCTGGCTTGGGTTCCCAGGCTGGCCTGTAGGAATCAGGCTTTGGGCAGGTTGCGCCCCACTCAGGCAGACTGAGGGACTCTGGAGCCTCCCCTCAGCTCCCTGTGAGCCACGCTCCTCCCATTTGTCAGGAACCCCCTGGGAGGGAGCATCCTCAGCCTTCCTCCCTTGTCACTGACCTGGAGAATCAGAGGAAAGGCTTCACCCCTTCAAAAGAGTAAAGCAACATAATTGTAAACATACTGTATAAATATGCGGGCTGGATGTAGCGGCGTCTGAGGCAGGAGGATCTCTGTGAGTTTGAGGCCAGCCTGGACTACATAGTGAATTCAAGGCAGCCTGCACTGCGTAGTGAGACTGTCTTAAAAAAAAACAAAAACACAAAACCAGGAACCCTCCTCCCTTTTGCCTGGGCTGGGCTTGGGAAGTATTCAGGCAGCTGCTGCAGTGAGCCCCCTGAGTCATCGTCAGTCCCGGAGGAGGGCCGCAGTGAGGAGGACTGGAATTCACTGGGAAGGTCACACGAAGGCCGAGATGCTCCTGAGAGGCCTCAGGATGGGCTCTGGGGCTGGTAGGTTATTTGTAACACAGCCCCTGGAAAGGGAAGATTCGTTTAAATGAGAGAACACCAGGCTGGGCAAGACAAGGGCACCACTGGGCTCTGCTGGCCCTCCCAAGATTGGTGACTGGACACGGGAAACCTCTGGTGGCCCCACCGAGGTGGTGCAGGCTCCATGCAGCGAAGCAGCCAGTGAGGGCTTCGAGTTCCACGAAGTGCATCTGGGCAGTGGCTTCCTGTCCCAAGAACAAAGATTGTCTGTCTCCAAAGCTGAGTCTCGTGACCGAGGGCACCGGCCAACAGGGCTGGCAACTGCTCCCCAGGGTCACCTTGTGACTCCAGCATTGACCTGGCCCCCGTTGCTGCCACTGGATTTGTGCAGTGAGAGGCTCTGGGAGTCGGGGTGGGTCACCGAGGCTGAGGATTCCTATTTTTTTATTTTCATTGGGAATGAAAAAGTTGTTTTCTTTTGCCATGCTTAATGGCTCTTGCTGAGCTCAGCAGGTCTGGAGAGCGGATGTGGATTTAGCTCAGCAGTGCGGGTTCTGAGTTTGCAGACTACTGGGGGCCGTGGCCTGTCTAAGTATGCAGCTTGTTCCCCCTGGAGGGGGCCATATCACTAGGATGTGTTGATGTGGACTTTAAATTGTAATTTTCTTGTAACTATTTTGGAATGATGCATATTTCTAATGTTTGTTATACTTGTACAGAGTATAGCTGTGAGTTGCTTTTCTTTTTTTTTTTTTTTTAAAGGAAAAAATGGCCTGGAAAAAATTTTTATAAAAAAAGACTTCCAAATACCAAATATAAAAACTGTTGACACAAGATGCCTTTGTTTCTTTCTTTTCTTTCCCCCAGTGCCACTGGCTTACTTTACGTGCCTGTTGTAAACCTGCTTTGGTGGGTAATCTGCAGCCGTGTGTATCCTTGGCAAAAACACTCAGATTTCCCTTTGGGGTTGCCACATAGCATTAGATTTCTGAAGGTGTCATTGTAAATACCACAGACTGGGTTGTTTAAACACACACACAAAAAATGTATTTTCTCACAATTCTGAAGGCAAGGGCTCAGAGGTCAAGGTGTCACAGGCCTGTGACCTTGCATGGTCCCCTCTTGGTACCTGCCCAATCTCTTCTTTCTTTAGGTCTAGCTGGTCTTGAGCTCACTATGGAGCCCAGGCTGGCCTCAGACTTGCAGAGATCCTTCTGCCTCAGTCTCCTAAGTGCTGGGATCCCAGGGGGGATTTTTTTTTCTGGACAATTTTCATCTCTTTATATGAGGACTCCACCAGTTTGGATTAAGGGTTCACCTTTCACTATCTCACTTTTTCTCTTTAAAGGCTCCATCTTCCAGTGCAGGTCCACTCTGAGGATGGGGGATGCAGAAGTCCACATGACTTCGGGGGCGGGGGAACGACACAGTTTGGCCCTTGAACACATCCAGGGGGTTCAGGGGAAGAGAAGACTTGGGAGATGAGGCTGTGTGTGTTCTAGCAGGGTCACAGAGGGACAGACTTCCCGGAGCTTCAGGGGTTTTGTTGGGTGGTTTGGGGGATTTCAGAATTGCTGGGAGCCTCTAGGCCTTTGTTGGAAACGTAGTTATTCCTCAGGGATTGAGGAGTGCTTGCTATGAATCCTGCAGGCATCTTGGGGCTGAGGATCCGCAGCTTCCGCCTCTGCCTCTGCCTTGCAGAGCTCAGGTTCTGAGCAGCATGCGTGGCCTCATTCTTAGCGTGATTGAGGCGCACAGGTGGGGAGAGAGGCTCTTTGCTCCCAGGAGCTGGGCCATCCCTCATCTCCCTCCCGCACCTATGCAACCTCCACATGAAAACCTGCCACACAGGTTCCACACCATCCATGCTCTGAGGGAGAAAAAGACAGACAGATTTGGAAGGTGGCGGTGGTGATGTGGTGTGGGGTGATAACAGGTAAGTGATGAAGTGCTGCTTGTGCATTTGGCTAAAGCACAGCTTTAAAATGTCACATAGGATGTGTGTGCACACGCAGACACAGTGTGTAGCTAAACACACAGAACACAGGGACACACACACACACACACACACACACACACACGCAGAGTTTGCCCTGTGTTACTCAGATGGGAGTTGTGTGGTGGTCACATGGTGACATGACAAGGAAGGACAAGGAAGGACAGCCCCCACAGACAGCGTGGTCCTGCAGCCTGTGCTGTGGGAGCCGTGTTCCCACCTGGCCTTTGGGCTCCTGCATGCCTGACTGCTGGGAGCTGTGTCTAACCCCGGGTCCTTGCCCCTCATGAGCCCTGCCCTCCTTCTCGTCCCTCCCCCTGTCCCAGCCTCTCTGGAGACCTTGACTACAGGGCTGTCCTGCTCCCCAAATGCAAAATAACCAGTCCTGATCCCCACCCCCCGTGGACTCCCTGCCTGTGGAAAAGTGACGCAGTGTCCCCACGCAGCAGCCCCTCACGTGTCCAGGCTGCCTGGGGACTCTCGTTAGTCACCATTCTAGTCAGGCCAACCCCACACATTAGGCCCATGACAATTTAATTATTTCAAACGTAATCATTGTTGTCACACTGGTTGTGCCAGGCCAAAAGCCAGGCTCTCTCTCCCAAGATTCCCTTCTGTCCAAACTGTGACAGTCGCAGAACATATCTTGCGTGGGCACCACTGGGTGTCAGAAAGCCTGTGTTTGTCCTGATTGTGAGGAGCACAGGACGCAGCCCTGAGCAGTTAGGGTGTGCATGGATGTCTTGTTCAAGCTGATATGGAGGAAGAAACTGCCGACCTGCTAGATGTCCAGAGGCTGTTCATGTTCTCTAAAATTGAAGAATGTGTTAGGAACAATGGAGGTTAAGAGTGGAATATATTTACTGAGTGAAACAAAACATCTGTCTGAGAGAGACAGACAGATGGGTTCCCAAGTGGGTTGCCAGAGACTGTCTTTAGTTCTAGAGATTTTATAGAGTAAAATCCTGAGGTGAGGTGGGTCCAAGGTGGGAGGTAGGACCAAACTATGGTCAACCAATAAGATTACTGCTCAGGTAAAATGGATTAAATTGAGATGGAATGGTAAAGTAATATAGCAAGCAGGCATGAATACAGAACAGGGCCTTCTCCTCTAGGGGCTGGTTAGTGGCTCCTGGCTTCCTCAAGGTGATGGGTATCTATTTAGAATATCAGTCCTTGATGTTTATCCTTAGGAAGAATGCAGGTGGGTTCATCCCACCTTGAGGCCTGGCCTTCAGCGGATGTGTCTGTCTGCCCATAGTTCGGTGTAGCCCATCTTCTCCTTCAAGGGCCTAGACCTATCTGGCTGCCCCTAATATTTCTGTCTAACTTATCTGTCTCTAACAAAGCCATGAGAGTTTATTTAGATGTCAGCTGGGAAAAAGGCATCTTCTCACCACTGTTTTGACCCTGATGTCTTTTGGCTGCCAACCCTCCTTGGAGTGTTTCCAGGGACCTACCCTTGTATCCCAGGCTGTGCTACTCACTCGACGTCAGAAGAAAAAAGCTAACAGCTGGCTGGCTGGCTATAGGTAGTGCAGATCTGTAATTCCAGCACTTGGGAGGCTGAGGCAGGAGGATAACAAGCTGGAGGCCAGCCAGGACTATATAATGAGACCCTGTCCCCAAAACAAACACAGAACTAGAATGCAAGAAAAGAACAGAAATAAAAAAAGATGACACATCATTGGCACATGAGGGTTGTTAATGTTCTGATGGTGAGACATTGGGCGTATCGCCCGGAACATAGCAACAGCAAGTTGTAGCTGTTCATTTATCAGCGGGAGTTTTCATTGATCACACGTGAGGTGCTGACAGTGAGTTCTGTGCGTGTAATTTGTTGGAAAGAACAGATGTCCTCACTTTCCTTGTGGGACTAAAGGACCTGCATTGAGACTGGTGTTGAGAATGGAATCAGCCTGCATCTTCCTAGCCGCCTGCTGTGAGAAGTGAGCCCTGGAGGGAGGGCACAGAGGAGGAGCACAGGGAGGCGCTGGCAGGGAGGTGGGCGCTGTTTAAAGAGAGTTGCTCCCCTCCTTTGTCAGTATAGATTTGTGACGCAGCTCGGAGAATCACCACACACACACACACCCCACCTCCATGTCTTTCACTGGCCCTTCCCTTCCCTCGGCCCTGTCTCCAGCCCCAGATCCCTTTCTGCCTCCACAAAGCCTACCTTCCTGCTTTCTATCACCTGTCCCCAGTCAGGTATACTTTGGGTTTCCCATATAAGAGAAGCCATGCCATTGTTAAGGTTGTGTGTCATCTATTTTAATTAGCATTATGGTCTCAAAGAACATCCATTTTCCTACAGGTGACTCAACACCATGTTTTCTTTATCCATTTTTCTGTGGGTGGACACATAGGCTGCTCCCAAGATTTAGCTACCATGAATTGTTCTGCTATAAACATGGATGCGAATGGATCACTAGAATATCTTTCACTCTTTCAGGAAGACACGTAGGAGGAGAACAGCTGGGTCAAATGGCATATCTACCCATAGCTTTTTGAGGAGACTCCACACTGATCTCCTGAGGGCTGACTGTACCAGTTCACAATGTACCCACAGTACAGAAGGGCACCCTTCACCCCACAATCTGACCAGCATTTATCATGGTTTGGCATCCGGGTAATGGCCATTCTTTCTGGGGTGAGGTGGAACCTCAGTGAGCAGCCGAAGTCTGGGGTCTTTAGTGCACAGCTGGCAGGGGAGCAGATCTGTGGGTGTGGGTGGGGCAGCCTCCATCAGACACCCAGTGTGCTGGTGCCTGGCTGTGGACCCGCTGGGATGGCAAGAGATTGTTTCTGTCCTTTATGAGACACTGAGTTATTGGTGCTTTGCTATATAGGTCCCTGGAGGGACAGTCCTGGTGTCAGAAGGTAGGCAGGAGGAGGGGATGGCCAGGGTGGCAGTGGCCATGTGGACTCCTATCCTGCTCTGACTGGGGACAAGGCCGCCTGTGTGATCTGCTCTGGGAACTGAGCGTGTGCAAACCCTTGAGAGTCCTGGCTCCAATCTAGGTGATACAACTTTGTCACTGCCTCACTGTCTGACCACTGGCTGCAGACAGTGTCCCCAGGCAGCTGTCATCCCTCAGCCCGGGGCCCAGGGTGAATCTACTTAGGCTGAGCTGCCTTAGCTGCATTGTGCTGGACTCCATGTTGGAGCAGAGGCACCTGCCCAGCCCATCCAGGTGCGCTGGACTCTTGCTTACCTGTAACCCAGCAAATCACAACCATAAGCTTAGAGCTGCTTGTCATATGGCATTTTATTTTTATAACAAACACTTAGTTTCATAGCTAGTATTTGGTGGTACTGAGATTTGAATCAGCGCCAAAGCCTGGCTCTTGGCTGCCTTGTGAAATAGAGTTTAAAGCAGTTTACTTTCATTACTTTTTTTATTTTTTGAGATGGATCTTATTATGTAGCTCAGGCTAGCCTTGCACTCGAGCTCATGGCAGTCCTCCTGTCTCAGCCTCCTGGTGTACACCACCATGCCTGTCTTATCTGTGTATTCTTTAAAGAGTAGGCTAAATTGGAAAATGATACAGCATTCAGGTGGCTTCCGGGAACTCGCACTTCGTTTGATGAAGGCATAAACTGGAAACAAAGCATCATGGGAAGTAAATGATGATCAAGTGTCAAGCTGAAGTTACAAGAGCCATTTATAGAACTATCAGTAGATAGGCCAGGGGTGGTGTTGCGCACCTGTAATCCCAGCCCTTGGGAGGCTGAGGCAGGATTATTATGAGTTTGAGACCAACCTGGGCTACAAAATGAGCGCAAGGCTGGCCTGACCTGCATAGCAAGACCCTGTCTCAGAAAGAAAAAAAAAAA